AGCGCTTTCAATTCAGTGCACTGACTCTACATTGGCATGCAGAGGTACCTCCAGTGTGTCATTGGCGTTTAAAGCAGATCAGTGGTATCTATTCACGGCATTTTGACAGGGATGTCTCTAGAGTAAAGGTCTGTATAATTGGCTGGGCGTATCTCTCTTGTGCTCCTTGCGGTGGCAGGGCGGTTCCTTTTCGATCGAGGCTACAACGAGTCGGGGCACTTCGGCTTTTTCTGCCAGGGGCCTCGCCCATCGCACACTGGGATTCGAACCCGGGCGTGACTGGAGTCCGCGTACTTGTTTGTTAACACAAAACAAAGCTGGGCCCCGCAGAGTTGCAGCTTCCTTAGGTATGCTGATCCTCAGTGCCAAGAGCTGTTGTCACGTATCCCTTTTGCTGCTTCGATATGCAGGGCATGAGAAATGGAATGAATGAACCCATTCAACCATCCATCCGCTTGGTGTCCTGAAAGTCTCAGGTTCATTCCCAAACCCCGGAAGTGGTCGTTCCCTACCTATCTCCCCCGCAATTTGTGTGTAGCAATCCACGAAGTCCTCTATGGCCTCAACAAGTGGAGTCAGCACCATCCTGAGATCAAGGCTCACTTTGGGGACTCGGGCACGAAGCTTCGGAAGGGGGTGGGGTCCTGTTTGAGATCTTTTTCAAGCACCTGAACCCTCACAGCTACTCATGAAAAAGGGAATTCGCCAGCCAGAAGTTGCCATGTTTAAGGAATTTGGAGGGAGGCAGAAGCTTTCCCGGAGTTTCAAGACAGCAATGTCTTCGTTTCAACCAGCCGTTTTGAACACCTACGAATCCGACCTCAAAAGGGGGCCTTCTGGAGATGCGGAGGCATGTTGTTGGGCTTGGCACTCGGATTTTGTCCCAACCCGAGTTTCATTTCCCGCAAAGGGGCTCCGGCAAGCACGTGGAACACCCAGAAGTGAAACTACGGCCCTGTGTTTAGGTTGGTTTTTTTCGATTGGTCGGAGGACGATACCTTTGCAATGGAGGCCTTTTGAAGCATCGCGGGAAACCGCACGGCTTCGAACGAGTGATTTGCCGTGAGATTTCAAGAAATGGTGTGTCTTTATACGTGGATACCTTTTTGTGGTTTCAAAGGACTACCAAATGTGAAACCACAATTTGTTGGATCCGCGGCCAGGCAACCAGTGCTATCACAGCGTATGCATCACCTGCCTGGTGAAATTGCGGAAGCGGGGTGGCCCAAACATGGATGTGTGTGCGTTTCTTTGCTTGTGTGTTTGTGTTTCTGTGTGTTTTTGAGGGTACATGGGGGTATCCTTTCCAGATAGGTTTGAAAGGAAGCCAAAGGAAATTGGGGCCCCAGTTTGACACAGAGGCACATGATGCATCGGCCACTCAACTGGATCTGACACGTCTGAAGTCTTCGTTTAGCTTTGCCGTATCTGAGCTCGACGGGTACCCTCCCGGTGAACAGCTGCAACTTGTGATGGTGTCCTTGGCATTGGTTTCAGGTTGCTGGTTGCTTCGGTTACCTCAGACTCTGCCGGACTTTCGTGATTGGACACGTTGCGCTCAGCACCCTCTTGTTCAACATGGAACCTGACACAGGGGTCCTGGAAGACGTATTTTCCTTAAAAGGGCTACAGTGGCTACAGTGCGATGTCCAAACAGCGGCGCCATCTGCGATTGCGAGTTTTCGGCTAGCGGTTAACTAAGAGGCAGCCCTTTTATGATGGTTGAGCTAGGGGTGGTTCGATACCTTTCGAACCAGCAAGTTAGACAGACGTACGTGCCATCAATACTCCCGCGGGGTTGAGGTCACTAACCTCGGGACCTCGGGGTTTCACACAAATGTACAGGGTTTCCTCCATTTCCCTGAGCAAAACCTCCAGTCTCCAGTAACAGTTGCCATGAAAACCGCCAGCAAACTGCACCGTTTGAAGGGGAAATCCAGTGACGCCTGAAGTACTGGACCTCAAACTACCCGTTCACCCAATACTCTTGGGGCGAAAACCCTTTGGCAAACGAGTTTTGAGGGTCCATGGGTGGGGCCCTTTTTCAATGGATTTGTTTTCCCGGTCCATGGGTGGTGGTCTCCCGTTTCGCGCAAAAAAAAGCGCGACAAAAGCGCAACGCGTGCGAGGCCCGAGTGCCCGCACTGCCGGAAGCCCGCGAGCGACGTGGCGGCGGCCCAACACTTGGCGCGCCTCGCAGATGCCTTCGATGCTCAGGCCTTCGCATTGGGCGTGGCGAGACGAGCGGATGGGGCCGAAGGGGTCAACACCGAGGAAACAAACAAGAGACGAAACCAACACAGCAAACCAAGCAAGGAGCAACAAGCCAAACAAACAAAGAGGGGACCAAGCAAAGGGAAAGCAATGAAAAAGGGATGAACATATCAAAGATTCAAAGATGGGAACAGATCAGCAAGACCAAAGAGACAAAGATGGGATCCCCAAAATGGGAACCCAGACCAGTGGAATCGCTTGTTCAATTTGATCATTCCCCATGGCCACCGGAGGCTACACACAAACACGGCAAAGAAGCAACGAACCGTAAGTGGGATCAAGAAACCAAACATGGGCTCACACCAAGTGCGCAGGGAGGGCGGGTGGCAGAACCTAGGGCACCTCAAAGAACAAATCCTCTTTGGTTTGGTGGGTTTGGGACCACCCAAAAAGGAACAAATCAAACAAAATGGCATTGTCGAGATCGGTGGCTCTTGGGTCCTTCAGCCGTTGATCTTCTGATGGTGACAACATTTGGCCCGTGTGGCTGTAGCATTTGATGGTGCGCATGGGGCAAACTTGACGGGTGTTCCCAAAATTAGGGGGCACTCACAAATGTCGGTTTTCGTTGTTCAACGTGAGCGCGTGGGAAGCTTGGAAAGGGCTGACACCCAAGAGAGCGGTTCGTTTGGCGGCGGCATCCCAAGTGGATGCAACCATTTCGGGAACGGCCACGTGGACCGTATTAGGACACACATTGCATCTTTGTCCTGGTCACGCAGAATAAGCGAAGAATACGCAGCAACACATATGCCCTTATTTTTTAAGCTACCAGTAGAGCCGGCGACAGTGGGCGGAAGTTCAAAACTGTAGTTCTGCTAATCTTTCTTTTCTTGTTAGTTTTTCCTCTTTGCTCTTTGTCATCGTTCTTCTTTCTCTGTTCTTTAGTTCTTTTCTTTCCTTCTTTCCATCTTTTTGTTCCTTCTTTCTTCCTGCCTTCCTTTCTTCCTTTCTTCCTTTCCCTGCTTTGTCTCCTCCTTTTCTTCTTTCTTTTTTATGTCCTTCTTTCTCTTCTTTTTTTGTCGTTGTTTTTCTCTTTTCTCTCTTTCTTATATATTCATCTTCGTCTGTGGCAGCAATCTATCTATCGATCCTGCGAAAGTGCTACGCAGGCCACACAATCTACCCTTCTTTGGGAAAGGCCTCGCGATCAGGCTAACTTTCGATGATCCCAAGGAAGAGAGACCCTCAAAGGGTGGCTCTTGTTTTACATGTCTATTGCCCCGTCACACACGCTCGCATGTTTGTCATGCGTGCGTATTCTTCTCTTTTCATCTGTCGGACAGCTAGCTTTCAATTGTTGCCATAGCAAGGAAGTTCCTTCTGAACTTCCTTTGAGAATACCTGTTAACTTGCCGTCTCTTACATATTCGTATTTGTGCTCGTTCTTGCAAAGGGTAAATTGCAACCGCCAATCGCGAGGGTACCTTTTTTTGGTTGTGTTTACAGGGAAACCAAGAGGAAAGCCTTAAGAATCATTTTGGGGTTCTCAAAAAAGAAACGCCCATGTTGATTGTTCATCTATCTTTCTGTTCACCGGCAAGAGGAAACTCAGGATTTTGGGGGTGTACAAAACTTGCTGGCGCTCGGGAATGAGAATTGGAATGACATGAATCCAACGGGTGGGTTCATTCCGTTGGGCTCAAAACCGTTCAACGGGATCCCAGTTTGGTTGGGGTAGGTGGATTCACCGCCCATCGGCTTTATTTTTTAGTGGTTGGATTGGGATGTTCACTGGGGGTACGATTTGGCTTTTGGGCTTTGACCCATGGCCATTTCGAATTCCCTGCTTATCGCAGCAGCAAGAAAACGAGATCCCGTCGCACCCACTTGGAGGCGGCGCTGCAAGCGGGGAGCATTGCCTGGGCCACAGCGCTGCAGGCGGGTCGACTGGAGCTAGGGATCCCATGGGAGACCGAAACCAACGAGGATATCCGGGCTCGGGTGATAACTCATGCCTGCCATTGGAAAACCACCCTAGTATAGAGGAGGCGCTGTTGGAAACACCCAGGCACAAAGAAGCGTGTTGACTACGGCAGGCAACGTTAAACGCTGACCCCGGATGCATAAACCTGCCAGATCCTTGAGGCAAAGGAATCTCATCTGAAATTGGACACTTTGGGTTTAACACAAGAGGGTTTCACCTTTTGACTAGTTCATGGCCCCCTGGGTTTAAGTAAGTCTACCCTGGGCTAGTCAAAAAGCGGAACCCTGCAACGCAACCCCTCCGCGCTGTGGGCAGAGCACGGTGCAAGGGCACATGGATGGGAAGGTACAGAGCACCAAGCATGGCCGGTCCTTACTTGGGTGCGTCATTTTTCTTTGGTGCATTTTGCTTGGATGTTAGGACTTTAACTTTTGCCAACTACTGGGTTTTCCATTAAACCACTAAAAGTTAAACTGTTAGCAGGGGAGCAGAAAGCAACCGAGTTTTGACGGTTCCTTCTTTTTTTCCGTGACTTTAAAGGGAAACCAAAAGGAGAACCTTCATTTTGTGGGGGCCCCTCCCAGTTCAATGAATAGCTAGGTGGGGCACGTACTGAGCAGATCAAACACGCGGCTGAAGCCTGTGTTTAGTGTTGTGCGCTGGTTTTTTCCACGGCACATGGGGATTGTCTCAAAGGGGTATTTCCAAAATGCGCAGGTGTCCTTTTTGCTTCCCCTTAAACCAGCCCCAAAACGCACCTCGCCCAAAATTGGCACGCCCGTCACACACAGCATCCCGCAGTGCGTTTCAGCTCCACAGCAGTGCCAAGCGTCCGGAACTCTTCGCACGTCCCGCAGAGCTGCTCGGCTGCAGCTTCCTTCACCCGAGGGCTTTTAGATCCCTTCAAAGCACTCCCGAGAAGCTTCCAAGAGCCTATCCTGAGAGGGCCTGTGGTTTCCTTCCTTTGCAGGGATTGGTTTTTGTTGGACTACAGTATGGTTGATAAGAAGGCACTACGTTGCAGCGAGGGGGGTTCTACGGTCTGCAATTAGGGGTGAGGGCACGACGTCCCGGTTGAAAATCGCGCTTGGAATCTACGCAAGCGCGTTTCCAGTTGAAATCCGCGCACTCTCCCAACCTCTGACGAGGCAATGGTATTGCAATGCCAATTGGTTATGTAAAATAATCCCTCAAGGGATGTGTCCATCCATGGAGTCTGGCTCATAGCATGGAAGTTGGGGGCTGGGCGGGGTTCGTTGAAGTTATAAACCGCAGAGCAATGGGTAAGATCCTGGATGGCTCGGAGGGGACGGAGGGGGTGGAGGAGGCCATCCCTGATTCAGCGTTTGAGTTGATGATCGGGATGGGGAGTTCTCCAAGCTCCAAGCATCATAACTGCGGGCGTTGGCCTGAGCCCCTTTTACCTCTGAGTTTGTTTCACTGATGGCAAGCACTGACTCCGGGCAAGTTGCACCAACTGACAGGCATCAAGCGCCTTTGATCTTCCGAAAAGTAGATCGACATTTGGTTTGATGCGCCACTTGAAGCCAAGAGAAACATCGCAAAGCACCCCTCCTTTCAGGGTCCTTGAGAAACCTGATCATGTGGTTCCATCTTGAGCATTTCTCACGTGAAGCTGCGATTCGTGTAGGGCCTTGGAAGACCAAGGACCTTTTTCCCGGAAGAAAAGCGGAAGCACGTTCGCTTTGATCTACAGTAGGTGATCGTAGATGGCGCAATTCCCTCCACCATGTTAGTTTAGTCATCTTTTTTTAAAGATATTCCTCTAGCATTCCCCTTAGTATTCCCATAGTATTCCCCCATGTTTGCAGCATTGTCTTACCCCTATATTGCCCTAGTACTCATTAGCATATTCTTGGTCATCCCTGTTTTTTGAATGCTGACCCAGGATCAATAAACCCGTCCCAGTATTTGGGGGGGGGTTCCCTCCAAAAGTGGCCTGAATCCCCACTAGAAGGAATTGGACCCCCCCAAAAAAAAAGTCAACCAGGGCTTCTGCTTCCGGGGTTAGCATGGGCCTTGCGCCATGAGGTCATGTCCGCTCCTGCCGCTGCTCCCGAGGTGGGCCGCTGCCGGAAAATGGGGTTGGGGGGGGGGTGGGGTATTGGGGGGGAGTTGATCAAGAGTCTTTTTAGGGACCCTAAACGATGGAGAACTTCCTGGATCGCCAGTTGCTGTTTGTTTTCTTCCTTTTTTCTGTTTTCTTGTTTCCATGCACTTTACCCCAAAAACCAGAAACAGTGACTGAACAAAGCAGCAACTTGGCTATCTAGGTGTTCCAATTTGTCGGGAAGCGCACGTTTTTGTGGCTTTCCAACCAATGGTCATCCCATGCAACGGACCTTTTGATCAACCTCCTTAGACCTTTGGAGCTGGTTCTGGAACAAATGTAAGGGTTGTTGCACATTCGGGGATGCGCAGAAAACTGAGCTTTGTCTGAAAACACCCCCAGCCAGGGGGCATTTCCCGGTAATCTTAGGGATTTCCAGTTTGCTGGACACTGAGCGAACCCTTCTGGTAGAACTCTCCTTGGAGACAAACCCAATAGATGTGTCAATATTTGAGTGACTATCCATCCAATTTTCCCGTGACCCCTACCTAGGTCCCTCAGTAGTGCCCTGTTACCAACTTTTTTTTTTGGGGGGGGGGTCCCCTACTAGAATAGACTACAGAAAAAAAAGTTGATACCGACTTATTTTACCCTCTCTACTGGGTTGGACCTAGCTGACCCCCAAAAAAGGGTACCCTTATTCTGACCCCAAACCACCCCCCCCCAAACCCCCCAAACCCCCCAAACCCCCCAAACCCCCCAAACCCCCCAAACCCCCCAAACCCCCCAAACCCCCCAAACCCCCCAAACCCCCCAAAAAAGGCCCCCCCTGCTAGGGACCTTTTTCCCCCTTTTTTCGGGGCCCCCGAGGCCCGCCGCGTCGCTGTGCCCAAGCGGGCCACCGGCACCGGCGGCGGCAGCGGCGGCCCGGCCCCGGCCGCGCCCTCCACCGCGGCCGCACCCAAGGCGAAAGCGGGGTTTGCGGCGGAGGCGGCGTGAGGTCCGCTTGGAGCGGTTGTTTGGCGGTTGTTTTGTTTTTTGTGTTTTTACTGGGAGTTTGAAGGCCAAGGAAGACCCATGGTTTTGTTTTGGCCACTTCCAGCGTTTGCGGGGGATTCCGAGCGCAAATGCCGCATGGTTTGACAACCATGCGGCATTTGACTTCCGCTTAGTCCTTGGGTTCCAAAAGCTTCCTGAGACCCTGCTATGGCTGACTTTAGTCATACCCCGCCCAAGAAAGGCTTGAACTTGAGATGTGAGTCATCTTTGTACACCGACGAAGTGAACATTGTGAGGATACAGTAAGAAGGAAATTGCTGGAAACCCAGGGAAAATATGAGAAAATGACTGGTTTTCAAACAACCATGGTTGAAAGAATGGAGCATCAACCCCTAGAACATTATGTTTTGGTGCAGATACAAAACATGAACCCACTAGTGTCTGATTAGAACACAAGAGCATGATGAGCTCCAATAATGTTCCACAAATAAGTTGAATTCCATCCGCAATTCTCGGTACGCTACGAGTTTGGGCTTTTTTGAGCGACTTCAGCCGGGGCTATGCGGCCCTGTTGAAGGTTCTGGTGATTTCTTGGGTGTCCGGATGGGGTGATGTTCTGTACTCAGTCCTGTTTCGACAATACCGAAGGACCAGTTTGGGTCTACGTACTCTGGTTTTCCAACTGGCGATGACCCACCCTAAACCTGGACACTTGCTGCGCACAGAAAGCAACATTCATGAGAAATCAAGGGGATGATATTTCAAGGGTGGGGGGTTGGACAAGTATGTGTCATGACCCTTGTTTTTGCCTGATTGTATGTTGCCACCTTCGGCAAAAGTACATGACTTGGTCACGTTACTGTATACTTACTGTGCATGACGAACATGACTTGCAGGCTCACATTTGACAAGCTCTCCTTGACAGCAATAGCATCCGCACTACTTTCAAGCACTATCGGAGACTGTAACCAATCTCGAGTCTTGGCTTTAGATGAATGCGCGCACCTGGACCTAGGTAGGTGTTTTGACCATGTCACCATGGAAAGCCCAGTCACTAGTGCGGTAGGTAACCCATGCTCCTTCAAAGTTCCCTTCAAAAAATTGGTTCTTGCAACCCAGAGGTGCCAGCCCAAGCCCAGCTAACTGGGCGAGAAGGACATTCCAGCTGTTCAATGCCACGAGGAGCTGCCCCCTCCAACTTTTCATTGCCATGGCTAGGTCCCCCAGCAGTGCCAACTTTTACCAACTTTTTAGTAGGGGAGGCTTCCCCTACTTAGACGAACCGAAAAAAGTTGGTACCAACTTCTTCCACCCTCTGTGGTTTGGACCTAGCTGACCCCCAAAAAAGGGTACCGACTTATTCTGTCCCCCAAACAAATCCAGTCGATTTTCCCGTGAACCCAATGTGTGAAAAGCCATGGTAGGGGAGCTAAACCCTCCAATGTTAGTGTCGTGATGCGCATGGGCTGAACATCCAGGCGGAGGCGCCCCGAGGCGCCGAGTCACCTGTGTCACCTTTCGAGTCGCCTCAGGCACCGGCGGCGCCCCCCACCTCAGCGGCGGCCATCATCTCGGAGCCAGGGAGTCAGGTTTTCCATGTCCCAAGGGAAGGTGCTCGAAAGACCAATTGAGCAGCGCCAGAAACCCTGACAATACAAAGTAGTAAAGGGGGGTGTCCTATAGAATCCCCGCGAAAGCCAAAACGCTGGCCGCGAAAGCTTGCGAAAGCTTATCGCGAAAGTAACCAAAGAAGGTCCTGCTGCGAAAGACCCGCGAAAGCCTGCATGCTGTGTGACGCTCCGCCGCGAAAGCGTCGCGAAAGCAATTCTAAAGAAACCAAAGCCCGCGAAAGCAACACATGGGGTCGCGAAAGCATCGCGAAAGGGTCCGCGAAAGCAAGTTTATAGGACCGCTTTTTACACAAGAGTATTTGGCACGGCTCAATTGAAGCTAGAAGGAGGCGGGTGACCCACAATCCATGTCTTGGTTGAGTGGAACACATGCCAAACTAAGAATCAGCGAATTACTATAGTGTTACCCTGTGGGTCAAAAATAAGTACCCAAAATGCGTTGCCCCGGAAAATGGACGACTAACACCAGTCCGGTGGTTCAATTCCGCCATACCCAAGTCTGGTTTTGCAGTGCACACCTGTTCCCGTCAAACCGCTCAAGTTCCTTCCATTTGTTGAGGGAGGGTACCCCGGAACCAGCCAGCCTCAGAGCCTTGCGGATCGGGGCTCGTAAAAAAAGCCGGGGCTAGTAAAAAAAAACCTCGACCAGCTTCCATTTGCTAAAGGCTATTTTGTGCGTTGCATTGGTCATATTATTATTTTTGCCAGGAGGCGAAAAAGCAAATGGAAGCCAGGGTCCCCCACGCCCACCGAATCAACTTCTGGCAGGAGACCCAGAAGCCCATGTCCGGGACGCAGCGCGCCGCGGCTACCGGCTCCGCCCTGTCGCGAGGCGGAACCAAGCGCCCTGAGAGATTTTTTCCGGGGGCTTCGCACCCAAGAAAGCCGGGGGTTGCTGTGAGAACTGTGACCAAGCGCCTGAGTTGTTTTTCTTTTCTTTTTTTCCGGAGCGGCGCCCGGGGCGGCGGGGGGTGGGTGGGGAGGGGGGAAGGGATTTTGATTTGGCAACAAGAACAGCGCGAACCCGAGGGCCTCTAGCCAACTGTGGAGAGCACCAAGAAGTGCCTTCTCTTGCACCAAACATACAGATTTAACCCAAAAGGGCATGCGGCATGTCTTTCCCAAAGAAGCCCTTTCACGCGGAATTGGACTTGAAACCCTTGGGTCGTCTGGCCACTGGGCAGGTTTCTTCTTAAACTAGGTGAGCTGGTTTCAACACCCTGCCGTTTCAGGTGCTCGCAGGGGTTTCTCAAAACAGTGGACCCCCTCTTGGTGCCTAATTTGAAACCCGCGGCGCAACTGGTCTTTTTCCTTTTTCGGGGATCACTTGCCAGCGCCCCCCCAGCTTGGCTGCATGCTCCAGAAACCAAAAAGCAGTAGTTGGGACCTGGGTGCTGGACCGGGAGGCTTAGCTTGAGCCGCAGAAAGTCGCAACCTATCAAGAACGGTGGCCAAATGTGGGTTGCAAGCCATTGTGGCTTGGTGTCAAAGGCAAACGAAAAGGAAACCACATGGGCCCTCAAAGTTCCCCTCAAAATTCCAACTTAAAAATGGGTTATTGCCAACCAAACTGATGGTTGGCGAAGTCCCTGCTTTTGTTTTTTGACATTCGAGGGTCCAGGCACCACTTTTAGGGGCCAACACGCGATTTGCCGGACTCATTTTTGAGTTGGCTCCTTCCGGGCCGACTCTTGAGCTCAAGGGGAACCCTGCCATAGGAGTCGTCCGTTTGATTTGCAAGCCCAAGGGCATGTTCCCTGGCAAGAGCCCATCTTTGATCACTTGGGCCGTGCTAAGTTAGGCTCCTTTTGTCATCAAGGGGACCAAACATCAGGAACCCTACTGATGTTATTGGTGCCACACCCGGATCTTTCTTCAATTGCCCCGGCAAAAAGCTTTGGCCGATCCATTTGCAGGAAGATCAAGGAGTTGGACTCATTTTTCCTTTGGGCCCCCAAAACAAACGGCGGTCAGCTTGGCTTCTATTGGCTTTAGGATCCTAGAATGGCATGGCGATCGGTTGGATATGGATCCTTGGAAACTTGTTGGGGCCAATTCTTAAAGCCTCATTGGCGGATTGGTTTGGATTTGGGTTTGTGGGTACACCTGACAAACGTGGTTTGGATTGGTGGTTTGGATTTGGATTTGCACCCTTCATTCTTGCACCCTATCTTCAGTCCCTTGCCAATGACAGCCAGCCCACACAACGCATGCCGCTTTCCAGCGCAAGTTTGCCGGGCTTGGTGCCTCAGCCCCGGCAAGTGATCCAAGGTGATGTCGCCAGCCAGCCGTTCGCTTGCCCATGGACCTGATGCATTTGGAATCGATTAGAACCACCATTAGAACCATTTGAAGGGGGCGGTTTTGCTTTGGTGCATTTTGCTTGGATGTTAGAACTTTAATTTGTTTACCAACTAATGGTTTTCCATTAAACCACCCAAAGGTTAAACTTTTAGCAGGCGAACATCCCAATCCAAAATAAAATAGACTAAAATGGGTGGTGCACCTAATTGGTTTTGAACCATGGCCATTTCAAGGGGGCGTTTTGGTTTTCGCTGGCACCGGTTCCTGTCGCCAGGTGTGGGCGCCAAGGCAGAGGCGGCCGCCCCGAAGTCCAAGGCGGGGCGATGGATTCGCCGATGCGGAGCTTGGAGAGGGCGGGGGAGTGTTGGCGTGTGTCTGTTGCAAGGGAACTGCCCCGAAAGAAAAAACAAAATAATACAAAACAACGGGTTTCAAAGGAATTCCCGGGGAAGAAAGAAGCAAAAACAAACAAAACCACGGTGGGGTTCTTTTTGGTTTCCATTTAAAAACCAAAAGGGGGATCCCGAAAAGAAAGACTCACCCAACAGCTGTTTGTCTTTGATGGTGAGCCTTGATACAAGTACTGAACATAGGGGTGTGCGTTGGTATTGCTAGTCTCGGAAACTTCGTTTTTGATAACCCCGGAATGAGAATCCCTAGTTGTTGAGAGAAATGGGGTGTCCCCTTTTAATATCACTTGTTGAGGGGAAGCCCCCCGGAACAAATAGGTTTATGAATGTGGGGTCAACATTACTGAGATTCTCTGGAGTTTCTTCATCAATCTCGGATCACTTGGTGGGGCTGTGTGGTCGAAACCCAATGATCCTGATACGTAAGATGATCTAAAATGGGAAAGTCAAACAGGGGGTATTGAACAAGTAGGTTCCCATGATTCGTTTGCTGTACCGGACGAGGCAGGGAGGGGAGACTAATAAAGGCTTAAGATATGGGATAGGATCATTGACATCCGCCTATTTTACAGCAAGCTCACCCGGGGGTGCGAGCTTACTTGGGGATCCCTAAATTCAGCTTTTAGAATTATAGTAGAAGTTGCCGAACATCTTGCAGCCTGCCAACCCTTTCCTTGCCCGAAGGCCTTCTTTAAGCATCACCCAAAGCTTTGGGAGCTTTGCGAGCTCTGCAACAGGACCTCAACGGCCAGATCTTCAAATGTTGTTGGGGTGAGGTTTTGAGGGGGGCGTATAGGTCAAAACACAAGGACCTCGCAAAGGTTTTGGTTGGGAACCTTGGTTAAATGCTGCGCCGAGAAATCCATGGACCCGTTCCCAACACTTTGCCCGTCATTTGGTTTGGACCGGTGTGTTTAAAAAATATTCAACAGCAAATATCGGCGCCTTTTGCGTGACAGTGCGGAGATCCGCTGTTTGTGCGGGGGGGTGGGGGAGGATCCAAGAATCACATTGCTATTTTATCACTTTCAAGGGGATTGCTGACACCCCAGTTCCTACATGGACTCGGGCTTCGCAAGCCGGCCCAGGGCTCGCCTCCCCCAGTAGTGCCCTTTCTCACCCCTTTGGGGGAGGGTTCCCCTACTAAAATGGACTACAGAAGAAGGGTACCAACTTATTCTAACCCCTCTGGAGGACCTAGTGTTTTTTTTTTCGAGGTGGAGCTTTAGGGAGCCTTGAGCCTGTTCCTTGGACCCTTCGGCTTAGGCGAAGGCCATGGCCGTTCCCACCACTGCCGGCCGCTACTCGGGGCCTTCCGGCGCCCCGGTGGTCAGTGGCACCGCGCCTCGCCAGGCGCGGAGGACGGAGGTTTTCGCCTCGGTGGGAAAGGGCTTTGGCACCCCTCCCAGTTTTCATGGGGAGTGGAGTATTCCAGGTGCCCCAGCTAGGTGCCAACTTTTACCGTTCCTTTTTGGTTGGGAGGGTTCCAAACTACAAAAGTCAACTATAGAAAAAAGTTGCCAACTTATTCGAACCTCTCTGCTGGAGGACCTAGTTTTAGTGGTGAGGTGTATTCTTGGAGGGGAAGGGTGTTTTAAAGGCCCGTGCAATTTTTGATGGATGGGTTGGGTACTGTAAAAACGAAGAGTCACGAGCACGAGAGTCATTGGTAGGTATTCAGACCTTTATCTTACCTCGAATCAAAGGACTCTTCTAAGCAGAAGCACTTTCCAGCAACATATCAAGCATTTATTGAAACATTTGGGTGCCTGTGTTTGGTTGGAGTTGGTATCTTGAGAAAACGAACCCTGAAAATGGTCACCTCTCCGTATTCTTCTAAGACAACCCTCAAATAGCTCACCCTGAAGGACAGCCTTATCTAGAAATATTAGAGTGTTCCAGGTGGTTGTGGTCTGCACCCGCTTGCGCTTTGCAATCCCAAAGCATTTCTTGTTAACCGCTGCAAACTAAACGCGGACCCCCAAATGTCCCATTCCCAACATGAGATTCCTCTCAGCATGTGTTTCTTTTCGTTCGGGTTCCATGGGAATCAGCGAACAAGTAAGCCAGCATGGGAGTTGACACAAGATTCCTGATAGAGGCAAATTGTCAAAATCAGGGAATCAGGGGGCCGCGGGGTCCATCCCTTGGAACTGTCCCTTGCAGAGTCACCCCGCCCCCCCCAAACCAGCCTGAAAAAGATTCAACCAAAAAACGCCGGCACTTGCAAGCAGATGGAGACTTTTAGGTGCCTCCCCCCCGCAAAAAAAAAGCCCCCAAACCCCCCCCCCCCCCAACCCCATCCCCAAAGAAAAAGAGAGAAAAAACCACACGCCCCCCCCCCAAACGGGTGAAAAAGAAGGGCTGCATGAGTTGTCGGGCCGACATGCCGGGGACTTTCAGGTGGTGGACATCGTCACCGGCGCGCCGCGGGCCATGGGCCAAACCCCGGGCGTGGCCACCAGCTCCATGGGCCCGGCCCGGAGCTACGCCAAGGCGAGCCGCGAGCCCCAGGGAATCCCAGGGAACTGGGATTTTTGGTGGGGAAATGGAGGGAAACCTGAAAAAGTCATGGGGAGATGAAGGGAATAGAAAAATGTAGGGAACTCCAGGGATTTGTAGGGAAATGGAGGGAAACCCTTGAAAAACGGTGGGGATTTTTGGTAGGGAACCCCAGAAACATGTAGGGAACCTTAAAGATTGGTAGGGAGCCCTAGGGAACCCCAAGGAATTCTAAATAAGTTTCCCGGGAAATTTAGCTAGAACTTCTCAACTACCCCCGCTACCATCGCGCAGCGTTGAAGTGTGTTTCGCCCATTTGGGTTGCGAAGGCCCATGGGAAACCGAATGGTCGAAAGAAGATGTCTCGCGTGGCTTTGGCTTCCACAGCTATGCTGAGCCATGCCATGGCAACCCCGGCAAGCGGAGGAGACCTTTGACCATGGACACTCGTGGCGTAGATCACCATGCATTAGGGGTCAAACAGAATGAACGCATCATGGATTTACCAAAACCATGGCTTGCCCCTGACCAAAATCATGGATGCAACAAATCCATGGGACAATGTGAGATCCTTGGTGGGCCAAAAAGGCCATGGATCGAGTAGCCAGGCCGACCATGACCATGGAGGACCAATAGCCATGGAGGACAAATATGCATGAAACAGTGGTGCACATCAATCCACACCTAAATGTTCACCAAGCAGTCTCTAAACAAGATATGGGTTTGCTAAAAAATGGGGGGGGGGGGACTGATTTCCTTTTGGCTTCCGTATAAACCAACCCCAAAAAGGGGTCCACCAGAGGCCCGCTCAAAAAAGACACTCCCACATCCATGTGGGTGCGTCTCAAATCTGGGGAACCCTCAAGGTTGTTCTCTTGGGCTTCCCCCTCGACACATCGCTTCCCTTTCACCTGCGAATTTGGAGGGTGCCACCAAAGCGAATCGAGCTTTTGACCTTCTGGTTTCCCATGTTTTGTCCATATTTTGCCAAGGTCGCAAAAGCTCAATTGCATTTCTGGGTCCAAACCGGGCAAGTGAGAGCTCCCACATCCATGCGGACGTTGATCAATATTCCGTTCGGGCCCAACATGACCATGGGGGGGGCACTTTTCCCCTTTTCCCCTGGTGAAAGTCAGCTTTGACAATGTATAACTGCTAATATATATATATATAGATACACCCGGACCCTCAAACTACCCTTCAAAAAGGGGTTCACCCACCATAAGAAAGTTTGGGCTGCAATCACCCAGTTTTTAGTTGGAATTTTGAGGGTCCAGGTACGTAGAAAACCGTTTGACTCCTTTTTTTGTTTACATGTGTTCATATATATATATATATACACACATTTTTTACACGTATACATATATATATATATATATATATATGTGTGTGCGTGTACACATATACATATATACATGTAGAACGCAAGGAAAAAAACACGCGAGAAGACCGATTCCCAGCCCTCTTCAGGCAGCTGCCTCCATGCTGCCGGCGGATGCGCCCCGCGTGGGCCCTGCCGCGGTGGCCGTGGGCCGCGCCATGGCGGAGGCGCGCGGGGGGGGGGGGGGTGGTGAGGAGTGGGGGCTGGGGGTGGGGCGGGGTGGCCGGGGGGGGGGGTGATGGGTGGGATGAGGACTGAATCTTGGAGAGGGGGGGGGGGTTCTATGTGCGCCAGGTGTGGGTGGTGGGGGGTGGATGAGGTACTGAGTTTTGGTGGGGGTTGGGGGGATCTTCCAGCTTTCCGCCCCCTCTGCATCTTCCAGACCCAAGATTTGTTTCTTTCTAAATCAGCTGTCCGCCTGGGATTTGTCGATTGGTCGATTTGTGGCAGGGCCGCACTCCGGCGGTGAGCGGCGGCGGCGGCAAGCTACGTGCGCCCATCGGGAAGAAGTACCAGCGACTCGACCCGCGGGGGTTGGAGTTGGTGGATCGTTCTGGGTGAGTTATAACGACCTCACACGACCGAATTCACCCCAAATGGTGGTTTCTATGGGGAATAGCCCCCAAACCTTTTGGTTTGGGTCAACTCCTGTACCGGGCTTTTATTAAACTTTTGCCGGATGAACACGGACTCCGTTTAAAATTGGTACAACCCTTACCGCCGTTGCTCCAAGATGACCCGCTGGGCAGATTCGAGGTATGATGGGAATCCGCGCGTTTGGATTGTTTTTGAAGAGACATATATCTCTATATATATATACATACATATATAACCGAGAAGGGGTGTGCCACCGACTAATTCTTCGGGGGCGTCGACAACCTTGGTGTGTTTTGAGGGCTTCTGAAAGGTTTGTAAAGACAACCTTGCTTGCTTTTGCTATTGGCTTGGATCTTTAGACATTTTAACTGCTTGATTGAACTCTGTTGGGGTTTCCGAATTCAGCCCACAACAAGTTGAACCTCAACCTTTTACGGGGTCGTTACAGCAACCAAGCTCCCCACATAACGATAAGATATGAAGGTCGTGCCACCTTTAGTGCATTTTGCTTGGATGTTAGGACTTCAACTTTTTGCCAACCAATGGGTTCTCCCATGAGCACCACTAAAAGTGAGTCACTTTTAGCAGTCCAGCAGAAACTTCTATTTGGTTAAGAATATGTTTTATTTTCCCCTGGTTTTTAGGGGGAATCTATCACTGGACATATTTTCTCGTTTTCTCCAGCACGCAAAGGCAAATGGAGGCTTAGCTGCGGGTAGAAGCCCCGTTGATTTGATGTGTAGACTCCTTTTGTGGACTCGGTTCAAGCCCTTCAAATGGAGCAAAAAGGGTGTGGCTCAAAATTAAACAGGAGGGGCAGACCGCAGGTTTTGGTCCATGTTTCCACCTACCAGGGCTTGCGCCATTTTGGACTTCCGGTTTTTTGAGCCACACACAAAAGCCGCCGAGCCAACCACCAGCCGTCACCTGAGCGTCCGGCCGGTCGCGTCCGGCTGCCGCATCTGCCGCGCCGTGAGGATCGTCTTCGTGACCAGCGAGGTGGCGCCCTTCTCCAAGACGGGAGGAGCGCGGGAGAGTCAGCTCGAAAAGATTTCCCCTTTTTTTGTACAGGTACTTCAAGAGGAAGCCAGCATCTGGTTTTTAGATTTCGTTTTCTGGGTTTTACAGGGACACCAAGAGGAAAGCCAGCATATATTGTTTTTGGGCGGGGGAGTTCGGTAAAAATAAATAAGTATGTGTTTTACTTGAAGAGATCTGTCTTTCTTTCCTGATGTTGCGGGAATTCTTGCAAGATTGTATCCTTCGATTCTGGATGGTGTGCAACAGGAAGACAGAGAAGACACCATTTTTTAGGGGTTGGTTGAAATTTGATTCCCTGCCATCCAGTTTTTGGATGCCCCTTCTTTGGAAGCTACGCGTGTTTACCAAGTATTGGTTTGATATAAGGCGTTCCTCGATTCGTCAACACCACTGGGGTTCTACTGGCAAAATGGGGTCCCTAGGCTCCTAGGGTTCGTTCCTTGCCCCCATTAAAAGAATGGCAACCAAGGGGATCCCCAATTTGGATGAAACTCCTGAAGGGTAAAGAACGCTGGTTTATTTAGCAGGCTGACGCCTGATGCCGCCGACCCCCGTAACAGCATCCTCTGGCCCTTCTCCGTCTCTCAGCAGGATTGGCCAAGGTCTCGCATGCTGGGGATGCGGGGGCTGCCTTTTTGGTGTTCCATCGTTGTAGAAAAAGGCAGCTTTTGCATCCCCAGCTTCACCAGCATCATCCTGCAGGTGCCCGGGGTGATGCTTTGCTTTCTGGGGGTGCAGGAGCTGCCTTTTTGGTCTTCGAATGTTTGGAAAAAAGGCAGCTTATCCACCCCCCGCTTCACCAGCATCATCCTGCAGGTGCCCGGGGTGATGCTTTGCTTGCTGGGGATGCAGGAACTGCCTTTTTGGTCTTCGAATGTCGGGAAAAAAGGCAGCTTTTGCATCCCCCGCTTCACCGGCATCATCCTGCAGGTGTCTGGGGTGATGCCTGGCATGCTGGGGATGCGGAAGCTGCTTTTGGTCTGGCGGAGAAGAGCCGGGCTTTCTCTCAGCGATAACAAGGGCCGGATTTTTCTCCAACGTCTGGCTTCATGCGGGGATGATGAGGCTGATGATGATGCTGGATGGCAAGGCCGATGATGGCGCCGCTGATGATAATGATGATGAGGAGGATGACGATGATAATGAGGACGATGCATCATCATCATCGTCATCATCCACCATGTCGTCATCATCATCCATCATCATCCTCAGCCTCAGTAGCATCATCATCCTCAGCCTCATCATCCAGCATCAGCACCATCGTCAGATCATCATCCTCATCATCCTCCTGATCATCATCATCATCCTCGTCACCATCATCATCATCATCATCATCATCGTCATCATCATCAGCGGCGTCATCATCATTATCGGCATCACCATCATCATCATCATCAGCATCATCATCAAAATCATCATCATCATCTTCATCATCCTCAGCAGCATCATCAGCATCATCATCATCATCGTCATCTTCCCGTAGTCTTCCGTCATCTGCGTGTATTCTTCCGTCATCTCCCCGTAGTCTTCCGTCATCTTCCCGCAGCTTCCCATAGTCTTCTCGTCCATTTCCGTCCTCTTCCCGTAGTCTTCCCGCAGTCTTCCGTCATCTTCCCGTAGTCTTCCGTCATCTTCCCATCATCTCCCGTAGTCTTTCCGTCATTTTCCCGTAGTCTTCTGTCATCTTCCCGTAGTCTTCCGTCATCTTCCCGTAGTCTTCCGTCATCTTCCCGCAGTCCCGCAGTCTTCCGTCATCTTCCCGCAGTCTTCTGTCAGCTTCCCGTCATCTTCCCGTAGTCTTCCGTCATCTTCCGGTAGTCTTCTGTCAGCTTCCCGTCATCTTCCCGTACTTCCGTCATCTTCCCGTACTCTTCCGTCATCTTCCCGCAGTCTTCCGGCATCTTCCCGCAGTCTTCCGTCATCTTCCCGTCAGCTTCCCGTACTCTTCCGTCATCTTCCCGTAGTTTTCTGTCAGCTTCCCGTCATCTTCCCGTAGTCTTCCGTCATCTTCCTAGTCTTTCATCATCATCATCCATCCTCACGGTTAGAGGTTAGGGTTAGAGGTTAGGGTTAGAGGTTAGGGTTAGAGGTTAAGGTTAGAGGTTAGGGTTAGAGGTTAAGGTTAGAGGTTAGGGTTAGAGGTTAGGGTTAGAGGTTAGGGTTAGAGGCTAGGGTTAGAGGTTAGGGTTAGAGGTTAGGGTTAGAGTAGGGTCATCTTCCGGTAGTCTTCCGTCATCTTCCCGTCATCTTCCCGTAGTCTTCCGTCATCTTCGCGTAGTCTTCCGTCATCTTCCCGCAGTCTTCATCTTCCCGTCAGCTTCCCGTAGTCTTCCGTCATCTTCCCGTAGTCTTCCGTCATCTTCCTGCAGTCTTCCGTTGTCTTCCCGTAGTCTTCCATCATCTTTCCGTCAATTCCCGTAGTCTTCCGTCATCTTCCCGTCAGCTTCCCGTAGTCTTCCGTCATCTTCCCGTAGTCTTCCGGCATCTTCGTGCAGTCTTCCGTCATCTTCCCGCACTCTTCTTGTCTTAATCCGTTATCTTCTCCTTGTCTTCCGTCGTCTCCCGCAGTCTTCCGTCATCTTCCCGTAGTCTTCTGTCAGCTTCCCGTCATCTTCCTAGTCTTTCATCATCATCATCCATCCTCACGGTTAGAGGTTAAAGTTAGAGGTTAGGGTTAGAGGTTAGGGTTAGAGGTTAGGGTTAGAGGTTAGGGTTAGAGGTTAGGGTTAGAGGTTAGGGTTAGAGGTTAGGGTTAGAGGTTAGGGTTAGAGGTTAGGGTTAGAGGTTAGGGTTAGAGGTTAGGGTTAGAGAGGTTAGGGTTAGAGGTTAGGGTTAGAGGTTAGAGTTAGGGTTAGAGGTTAGGGTTAGAGGTTAGGGTTAGAGGTTAGGGTTAGAGGTTAGGGTTAGAGGTTAGGGTTAGAGGTTAGGGTTAGAGGTTAGGCGTGTCAAAAATCCGCTGCGGGACCCCCCCTCCCCCCCTCAGACTCCCCCTAACCACCACTTAGAACACGCCTCGCCCCTTTGCAGAGACTAACTTTGCTTTTGCAAAGGGGTCGGCGGATTGCCCCAACCAGTTTTCTCCAGAATCAAAGAAACACATCTCCACCAACGGCTGCTCTCTTGCTTGAATGGATTTATTAACCCCTTTGTTCTGATGGTAACTGAACCCCATGGGGCGCTGGTATGGTGTTTGGGAGAAGCTTTCGAGTGAGACGCTTCCCTTTGGAGTCGCTTCGTGTTTCATTCGCGTCTTCGAAACAAGCCAGAAGAAATCAAGCCCAAAGGTCCTCCTGGGATCCTTAGGTTGGCAACCTCGGGCTGTCAAAGTCGGAAACTGAGGTTCTTTCCCTTCAAAGTGCAACTTGAGGGGGTGACGTTGGTGGTAAAAAAAATAACTGCGGCCAGCAAACCACCACCAAAGCCCAGCCAAAAATTGATGTCCACACGTTCCCCCATCAAATTTTCACACCCTCTGGAACTCGAGGACTGGGCGAGGCCATGGATGGCCTGCCGATTGCCCTGGCGGCCTTCGGCCACCGCGTCATGGTGGTGTCTCCCCGCCGGGATCCTCGAATTCGACCGGAGAAAGGACAACACAAGTCCATGGGACAGGTTTTTTTTGTGAGTATGAAGCATTGGATTGAAGCATGTGTTTCATCATTTACACATTCATATTTGTGGTGCAAGCAACGAACAGATCGTCGATTTCGAAAATGTCACCCCAGAAATGAATCCCAAAGGGAGTCCTTTTTCTTTGTGGGATAGACCCACGCTATGCTTTGGATTCTTTGCAACACCGTGAACATGGCTGACAGAAGTGTTCATGTAAATGGTGCACACCAAAAGGTTCCTAGTGAAACAACTTATATATATATATGTATAATAAAAAGAAAAACAACAAATCTTGGCCCAACCCCAGGGTTCACCTCAAAAACGACATCCCCCGAGTCTTGGTGGATGTGTGTGGATGTGTGTGGATGTGTGTGGATGTGTGTTTGGATGTGTGTTTGGATGTGTTCTCTCTCTGTGTGTGTGTGTCCCTGTGTGGATGTGTACTTGACTGCTATTGGGTTGGATCTTTAGACTTTCACTTTTTGGTTGAAATCAAGTTGGGTTTCCCATGAAACCCACAAAATGTTAAACACTTTTTGCAGAGGGGTCGTTACAGCAACCAAGTAGATGTCCTTTTTGGGTTTCGGGACCCAATGCCAACAGCGCCAGACCGCGGGAAGTTTTTTGGTTTTTCCCCCCGAGGTTACGACCAGTACGCGGAGGCTTGGGACACCAGCTACTGGGGCAACGTGTCCATGGGCGGCAAGCAGGACGCTGCTGGGAAAGCGAAGCTGGCACTACCGCAAGGGTCAACAAATGCGCCTGGACCCTCAAAATTCCAACCCAAAGTGGGTTATTGCCCCCAAACTTGTGGGGTTGTACCAAAGCTGGGAGTACCGCAAGTGTCAGAATGTGCCTGGATGCCGCACAAATCCAACTTAAAAATGGGTTATTGCTCAAGCTTATGGGATTGTTCAAAGCTGGGAGTCCCCAAAAGTCAAAATGTGCCAAGATGCCGCAAAAGTCCAACTAAAAAGTGGGTCATTCCTTCTTTTGTTGGTAGTTTGAGGGTACAGGTGCCAAGATACCGCAAGGTTTCGTCCTGACAAGTGAGGCTTGGTTGTGGTTGGTTGCCCTTTTACACAAACCCTAAAAGGGGGGCTAGTTGCGGACAGACCCATGTGGCCAGAAATGTTACTGGTCAGAATACCCTCAAGCATGGTTGGCGGGTTGCAGAAGAATCTAATGTTTGCCAAAAGGGCTTCAGACGGATCTAGGACAAGGACTGCCCAAGCCGCCATTTGAACAGACCGGATTCTGGTTAGCATATGGTCACCTCAGCCGAAATGGGTCGAGACGTGTCTAACCCGCCAATCCAAATCACTGGGCGAGGAGCTATCCCAATTCAAAATTTCAGGCCCCTTTCAGATTTAACCTCTCCGGTAGTTTATTTTTTTCTTCGCGAAGGGAACAAAAGCAAACCGCCCCCGCCCCACCGCCCAGTTTGTGGCCAGAGATGCCCCGAGGTCCGTTGCCACAAGCCCAGGGGATCCTTGGACACACCCTTTGCGAGGAGTCTGTGCACTTCTTCCACACCTACAAGCAGAAGGCGCCTTTCTTCTACCGAACTCACCCGGCTCCAGGGCGCGTAAACAAACAGAGGTGCATTTTGCTTGGATGTTAGGACTTTCCAACTAATGGGTTTTCCCATGAAGACCACTAAAAGTGAGGGAAACTTTTAGCAGGGCAGCAGAAAGCAACCGAGCAAATCCGACCTCACCCGGCTCCAGCCGGAAGTTTGGCAGTTTGCAGAAGTCAAGCGGTTTGCCCAATCCAGCGAAGGCCACCCAAGACCGTTGGTTGATTTTTCTTCGGTTGCCAGTTCAACCATTCTTTCAAGATTATCCAAAAGGAAACCCTAGGGTTCAACGAATGGTTGACCCAATTTGGATGATGAAACTCGTGAAGGGCAAATCCTGGTGCTTGTATTGACTAACCCCCCTAGTTTTCGCGGTTTGAAACCTCAAAGAAGCCAGTTGGGAGCTCCGGCTTGCCGGCAAATTCGTCATTTCTTATATGTCCCCTTTCAAACAGACCCCTACGAGGAAGTCAAACATCTTGGCAACAAGAGGCTGCTTGACCCACCCAAAAGCAAAGAATAAGACCTCCTTGTTTTGTGGGTAAATCGTTTCACTATGGGAGGAGACATCATCCATATCAGCAACGCACTACATTGTTTCAGGTTCCTCACGGTTTGTTTGGGTTCGTTCCTTTTCGAGCACACGCCAGCTTCGGAGTTTTCGATTCGACTGCCCTGAATCACCGCTTGATTCGGGCGTTTCGCTCCGCCACCGGTTCCGTGCCGTGCCCCGATTCGTTTCGATTCGTTTCGATTGGGACCTTCGGGGGCCTCCAACCTTCGAAGCTCGCCTCCGAGCTTCGCCTCGGCCTCCAGCCTTCGAAGCCCCCCTCCTCAAGCTTTGGGGTGTCGCCTCCTCCAAGCTTCGGGGGGGTTTTGCCTTGCCAGGTCTGGGGGTGGGCGGTTCCCGGGGCTGTGGACCTAGGCCAGGTCTGGGAATCCACATTTTAGGAAAATGAGGAGTTTCCCCCATCGCCGGTCCCCTTCTCGGTGTGAGTCCGCTGACAGCAGGAGGGGTCGGCGGATCAATGACCATAGGCCATAAGGAGAGGAAGCAGGAGAAAAGGCAAAGGACAATGTCGGCGGACTGAGCCGGAGGCTCTAAAGTTGCTGCCCCCCCCCAAAAAAAAAGAACGTCATGCCACCAATAGGAGCCTCATCTCACCAAAGCCTTTCCACAGTGAGAAGGGGCGTCAGCTTCTCTTTGATAACATGGATAAAGCAACAAACTCATATCGGGGGCACTTCAGGAGAGAGCAACTGAAGCAGCTGGAGCCCCCCATACCCAACACACCTGCCGATGAATATAACCCTATTGGTTGAATACATTTGTGTGGCTATCACCATGGTTCTGGGCGGAAAAAAACTTTCAGTGATGCCAAAGTGGACTATCTTGTCGCTTTGAAGGGGTTCACATAGGCCCACAACCCTTTCCCCAAACCATGGCTAGTGAAGCTGAATTGGTATAAAACGGTCTTGCAACGATTGCCACCATTTAGTGTATAGAGCCCCCAAGCGGTGGTTTGCGTGCCCCCCTCGTCACAGAGACTCTTCTAACCAATTCATGTTTGCTGGGATGGACATGGTGGCTCTCCAGAAACTTTTTGCCAGCGTTTGCAACCAACATTGGCCAAGCATCAACCTGTGTGCACTGACAATGTGTGTTCGTGTGCGTGCAAGCCTTTCATAGCGACTCTAACATGGACCCCCCCACCTCTGCTCACAAACAGCAAGAAAAGGACCAACAGTACCAGGTTTTTTTTACCAGCCTGTTTCCACCAAAAAGGGGTTCCCAAACTCGCCCAAGTGCCTCTCTTCAATCAAGGGCCTTGTCATCTCCGAAGGAGGGTCGAAAGGGGGACAGTTCCTTTGATCAGCAGAACAATATTCCGGGCGCGAATGATGAAATGGGGTACCCCGCATAAATCAACTGGTTGAGTACTGGGGTGTGCAGTGAGTGGCTCCCTCACGCTGTGCCGAACCCAAACAGGAAGTAAAATTGCAAATTGATAAACACAGTTCAACGTTTGATGTACTGAAAACACTGAGACCAACAGACTATACGTAAGTCTATTCAATCATTGCCCCAAGCTGCCTCGTTTGGGGTTCCGTTTGGTTGTTACCCCCACATACACGCGCCTTGGACCTGTCTGGAGAACTCGTAGCGACACTTGGGTATGAGAACCTGGGGAGAATACACGGGCCTGTCTTTTTTTGGCAGGTGTCTGGACCCTCAAAACCGATAACAAAGGGAACTCACCCCACAAGTTTGGAGAGAGTAAGCTTGGGGCAACCCATGTTTGAGGGAATCTTGAGGGTCCAGGTACCTCTTTCTTGGTTTCGAAGGGAAGCCACGAGAGCCGAAGCTCATTTTGGGGGGGGTCCTATTCCTAAAGACCCGCACTAAGTCAGATGGCCGCAGGGCATGGCCCCTTGTTGAGGATGGCGATACCCATGGGAGGATGGCAGGACTGAAGTGGGCGTGACCCCCAAGGCGGTTGACTTGCTCTTGGTTCTTGAAACCAGCCCCCAAAAAGCGTACCCTCATTGCCCAAGGCCGACCGCTTGACCTTGTAGTTTCCACTCGTTCGTCGATTTCTATGGCCCCCAAACTGGAGCACACCCTCTTTTTTTTTGGGTCCAAAAGGGCTCCCGCAGCAAGCCAAAAAAACAAACAGAAAAAAAAACGACGAGCCGCAGGTGGACTACGTCTTCGTGGATCATCCCACCTTCCTGGAGCGCGTGAATGGCCTCACAGGTGCGGTCGATCGATCATCGGAACCTGTCAGGTTCGGGGCGTTGCGCGGGGTTTTTTGCAGACGGGGAGGGTCACGTTCCCACACCGAGTTGACAGGATGGACTTTTTGTTGGTTGGCAGATACGAGCGTGGCTCAAAATGGATGTTGAGGTTGGCAGATATGAGTTGCTCAAAATGGAAGAGCCAGGGTGAAGCGCTTCTGGTCTTTGGTTCCACTTACCAAGGTGCCATTTTGTTACATGTTTCTGAGCATATATATATATATATATGTATATGCTTCGGACCAGGATTTCAACATGTTCATGGAAAGCCAACGAGGCAGTGCCGGGTGGTGAATCAAATCAAACGCGTTCAAACCTCCCATTGCAAAGAGTCCCGCACACTGACCACAGAGATGGGTGATACCTGTTCTGGTTTGTCATGGTAGTGAAACCAGCAGACATATTGTTAAAACCATCAGAGGGTTTCCTATTTTGGGAAATCCCACATGGCTTTTGGAATCCAAGGTGGAGTCTCCGATTATAGAAATCTCGGGGCATAACCTCAGTGACTCGTCTCAAACTGCCTGGCTGCCTGGCTGCTCCAGTTGGTTTTCCTTTGAACCCCGCCCAAAACGACGAACCACAAGCCTCGTACCCATCCCGCCGCGGATGGCCAGGTGCCAAGCTCTATGGCCCCGAGTGGGGCAAGGACTCCGGGTCCCGATCGCTCGGGGATCGCGCGGCGGTTTCGATCCTTTGGCCGGTCCAAGGGGCAATTCCCCAAACCCTGGGGGAAGCCGAAGGAAAACAAAGCGGGCTCTAAACTACCCACCTCCCTTGCACATACGTTAAAGGGGGTTCCAAAAAAGTACATGGACCCTCGTAGAACTCGAACGCAAAACAGGAATTCTTGCCAGCCCCAACATGATGGTTGGTGGAATTAGTATTCCTTCCTTTTGTACGGGTAGTTTGAGGGTCCAGGTAGACGGAAACTGGACAGGGTGTCCGATCCATTTCCCTTTTTGGAACCTCCATTCAGTGGCAGTTTCAATGGAACCCCCGATCTCAGTAGGATTGCCCACTCTGTTTTGCGACGGTGTTGGATTCGGATGCTTAAGTTGGGTGGGACCCAAAGGGATTGAGCACCACCGTTCAAGTTGACGTCCGAACAGTTTGAAACCTACCCGAACATATTGAAACCTTCCCAGTTCCCGGCGCAGGAAGGAATTTGTAAAACGTTTGGTGTCCTGTTCAGATATCCATTGTAGTATTGTTTTCGGTTTGGAGACAATCCCTTTCACAGTGTTCACATTGTCTTGGGTTTTTGTCTTGGGGAAGACGTCTAAAAATGGCTTGGGGAAGCCTCGGTTCCTTTGCAGTCAGTGCCGGGGACACGATCGCAGTGACCGGGATAGTCTCAATATGATATATACGTGCAGCCCCCGTAGATTCCGCAAGGGCCGCTTTAATATCTGCAAAGATATTTGTGATGTTTCTCGTGAGTTTGGAGCTGCCCTTTTGGTTTTTTGGGGAAGTAGCAGGATTGCAGGTTCCGCATTGTCGTTGTCGTAAGAGGATCGAGCCGACCTTTGAGGGGTCGTGGGAAGCACGTCTCGGCTGCATCGTTCCTTTTGGAAGACCAAGGTCTCCGAAAGGCCCCTGGCCCCCGTGGTATTTGTTTCTGCCAACTTGCACTCAAAGCTATCCTTGACTCAGTGGCACCGATTCTGTGTCTTTTTTCTTTATTTCCTTCTTTTCCGGTGACTGTCCCACTGAAAATGGTCTTCCCCAAACAGGGTTCCCTTTTTTTCCAGGGTCTCTGAACAACTGCTCAGATGTTCAAAGCAAACCAATGTTGGTCCATATTTAGTCATGACCCCAAAACGTTAACCTTTTAGTTCCAGGTGCTTTGGGCAATTGAGACTGAGTTGATACGACCTGAGCCGGTACAGCAATTCCGGACATCCGGACTGCAGATACCTTGGAACAAGGCTTGATTTCCAAAATAGGCATCGGAACCCAAAAACATGGGCGGTTTAATTTGATTTCCCTGCAAAAAGCCATGTGGGTTCCTCAAGCAAAGGCAGACCCATAAATCATAGTTTTCTCTCCAGCCTAAGATTGAACCCACCATGTGGGGGTCTCCCAAAAATAGATTCCAAATCCAATTTTCAGCTTTCTGTTCAGTCAGCAGTTTGAATTCTAACTTACCGTAAGTAGACGGCATAACGAATCCCTAGAAAAGCCTGATAGTGTCTACAGTTGAACGCAGATGGACATCCAATCTCTTTGACTTAAAAGGAGCAGTAGATTACCCTGTTTCTGGGAACGATTTCTGAGGGAAGCCCGGGAGACACCATCCCGTCTTCTGCATGACAAAGTACCCCCCTGCGCAAAAGCTCTTCACGTTGTTTGGGCTGACAGCCTCACAGATATCTAGAGCCCACCAGTAAAAACCACCTTGTAATAAGACCTCATCATGCGGTGCTTTGCATTGAACTGCAGGGAAACAGTTCGGATATCTCATTTGCCATATCCCCCCTACAAGCCATCCCCCTTTTCTCTCCTCCCCCCAGGTTTCTCAGCACCCATGAAATCCTGGCAGGATTTCGCGGACAATCAGGCGCGTTTCGCCTATTTCTGCAAGTGCGCTGTGAAGGCCATCCAGGAGTGACTTGGGACTGGTCGCTTCCTTGTAGCAGCCTTTGGTTCGGACTGGAGTGGTTTGGAATTCGTGCATGTGTTTCTGTCTGTGTGTGTGTGTGGCTGTATGGCTGGGTGCTGCTCTGTGCCACGTGCTCTGTCTTGCCTTTGCCTCGCTTTGCCTGCTTTGCTCTGTGCGCGCCTTTCTTGGTTTCCGTCGTTTCATGGACAGATGGTCGCAGTTATTGTTCTTTTCCCCTGTTGGGGTTTTAATTCGATCTATCACTACTGGAAATATCTTCCATTTTTTCCAGGGATCCTTCTTTCTAGACAACCACCGGAAACCCAGGGAAAACGGATCGATCGGCTTTTCAAAAGAGCGATGGTTGAAAAGAATGAAAAAGGAAAACACACCCTAGAATCACTCCTGGAAATATGGCCATGGGTCAAAATCCCGTACCCCCAGTGAACATCCCAATCCCCACTAAAATAAATCCTAAAAATGGGTGGTGAATTCACCTACCAACCAAAATGGGATCCCATTGGTTTTGACAACCACAGCCATATCTTCCATTTCCAGGGGACGTATCCGCCTCCAGCGGAAGAGGACACCAACTGGTTCCCCGCCTTTCGGTCCCTGAGGAGCTTCGACTGGGCGGATCCGCGTCCGGAGCTCGGAGCGAAGGCACGCGAGCGTCACCCAAAAGTCCTCGCCTTCAAGGCTACTCTACCATTTGCTGAAGAATATTGTTATTCTTTGTCTTTTGGTTTTGAAGCGAGTTTAAATCACTACTGGACATATTGTGATTTTTCCCCTTTTGGTTTTAAGGGAGTTTGTCACTACTGGATATATCGTCATGTTTCCCGGCGAAAAAGCAAATGGAAGTGTTGGCTTGGATGTCTAACCAGCACCCGCGTCCAACTACTGCTTTGTGGGTACTGTAGCAAGGAGATTTTGGACATGGGAGAAAGCAGGCGAATTGGGGGGGGGGGTGCATGTTTCAACGGTTTTTGTGCGGAGGGCAATAGCCACATAGAAATGAGCAGCACAAACAGATCATGGTAGTGAATTGCTAGTTTTGACCCGAACCCCGAGGCTCACAATCTGAGTTTGGACAGATCAAGATGAGCTCAACTGCTTGTTTCCAGTTTGTACACTTGGTCAACGCTCCAAATGGGTCTTCCTTTGGGTTCTATTTGGGACTACCCTCGTGCCAACAATCATTTCCCCAACGTGAACCAAGTCCACCCTGCGTGGACAGGCGCAGCTTTTTTTTAGTATGACGAGGTGTCCATTCAACTAGCAGTCCTTAAGCTTCTAGCATTTTTCTGACCAACTGAAACCGAGCCATCACCATGTTGTTGTTTCTTCCGCCTGCCCGTTTTGGTCCCCGCCTCATTTTTCCCTTTGGTCGCAGGGACCTGAGAGTTCAATGGGCTGTCGGGCTGTCGGGAAAAGTGGTCCATTTCGGGGGACTGGGGACTGGGGCCATTTGGGTCCCCGGCTCAGACTGCCAGACGGTTTTGAACGGCCCCCGGTTGCTTCCATCTGCTTTTAAGAATATGTGTTTATTTCCCCTGCTGGTTCTAAATGGAATCTATCACTGGTCTTCTTTTTTTTCCAGGGGACCTCGGCAATTGAGGGTTGCGTTTCCTTCATTCCTCAGTTCCAGCCGGCAAGTTGTTTGTTTTGGCCGGGTCCCAGCCCGGCCAAACTGTGGAATCGGAGTAAAGGGATCTGGACCAAATTCCTTGGGCCAAAAACAAGTTGAACCTTTATTATGACTCTACAACAAAAAAGTGTGTATATATATACATATAGACACACCTGTTTTCCAGGGATTGTGTCTCAGCTGAGATGTGGTTGTGATTCGGACATCTCCTCTATTTGTTTCGGGCCGATGTTCGGGGTAGCGGGCATTTTGCAGTGTCTCAAAGGTACGGGGGAGACTGCATGGTGGTGTGCAACGACTGGCACAGCGCTCTGGTGCCCATGCTGATCCATGCTGACAAGGCTCAGAATCCAGGCGCCGGGATGGCAAGGGATGGCTCCAGCGGGAGGGGGTTGTTAGGCTGTTGGGTTGTTGGGCTGTTGGTTGGTTTGTTGGGCTGTTGAGGTTCTTTGGTGGACCCGAAATACGAGTTTATGGCGTGTTGAGCGGTCTCAAGCTCAGCAAGACAGGACTTCAAGAGCATGATATGTGCATTGGATAGATATGATACTCCCTGAATTGTACATGTTCGCGTGGTCGCGCACACCAGCCGGCGGCCGGCATATTTAACACAATAGCTGCAGACAGAATTGAGGATCAGCTTGATTGAGTTGTTTGAAAAACCCAGACCTCCGGTAGCGTGCTGTTCTCTTTGGGGGATGTGAGGAGTCTTTCAAGAACTGCCAACAAAGGGTACGTGTTCCCCATGGCCTCTGCTCTGGGATGAACTCGAGCGAGGCTCCTCCGTTGTGGCAAAGACTTGACGGCCACTGCTGTCCGCCTCGCGTTGTGAAGCTGAGAGGCAAGCGAGCCCTCAGCAGATTGTTCATGTGGGTGTGGCTCAAAATTAAGCAGGAGGGGTTACGCAGGTTTTGGTCCATGCTTCCACTTACAGGGTTCCATTTTGGCACCGGTGTTTTGAGCCACAGCCCTGTGTCCTTCGACATTCCCAACGGGCAATGTCACATGAGCAATGCAGCACCCAGGTAGACAAAGGGTTTATAAGCAGTCGCAACTGTGGATAGGTACGGGCGCTGTTGGTTGCTTCTTTACTTTGGCGCAGACTCCAACAGGGCTCCTTAAAAGATACATTTTGCCCATTTGAAACATGGCTTTTTCAACACCAAAATTAAGAGAGACCACCATTTACAAGTCGCAATGTTCAGGTGTTTTCCACGTAAGGATCCCTGACTCCTTGGAGTCAGGCGTCGAGGAAAAACAAGTCTCCCTTCAGAGCCGCTCTCTGGCCTTGGTTCAGCGGGCGAGGCAAGTGGCAGAACACGAAGACCGCCTTCCTCTGCCACAACGCCGTCTTTCAGGGCCGGTTCCAGCGCGAGGAAGGCGCGTGGCTTTCGGGAGTCAGAGACATGAACCCCCGGAAATTGGCAGAGTGACCGATCCGCTGTTGCTGGGGAGAGAGAACGGTTTCCAGGGCGAGCTTTTGACATATGGGTGGGTCGAAGTTAAACCAACAGGGGACCGCAGATTTTGGTCCATGTTTCCACTTACCAGGGTTCCATTTGGGTACCTATTTTTGACCCACAGCCATATGGGTGTGGCTGTTTTGAGGGTACCCCCTTGTTGATAACCCCGAAATCCTCTTTGGGGGGGTCCAAGACCTCAAAGAAGGGTCCGAGCCACCGTGAGCAATCCTGATGGGTAGAAAATCGGAGACCTCTCTGAAGGTTGACTCCTTTCCTTCCATTGGACGACACTATGGCCTGGGAAAAAGGGGGCGGATCCGACTCGTTTCAGGATACCCTTTGGGCGACTGGGTTCCTACTCTTGCTTTTTTGGAGTTGGGGTCAAATCTTCCCTGATCCCAGTTGCCATGCTGGGGTGCGAATCGGATTTTGTCCATCCACAGTACCAGGACCCTCAAACTTCCCATTGAAAAGGGGAAGTCACCCCAAACCTTTGGGCCATAGCTTGTGGCTACTAGATTTTTTTGGGGTCCAGGTGCGTAGACCGCTTGATTCTGCTATCGATGGAACTCCGAAGGTTCCAAGGAACATGTCAGAATACCACCACTGGAGATCCAGTATCACACCACTTGGGATCCAGTATACATATCCCACCCTGGAATGAGTGGGAATCACCCCAAACCACCTTTGAGGGGATCCCAATCGGATCAATTTCCCACCGTTGATTGCCTGAGAGTTTCTCAAAATTGCTTATGACTCCCCTTTCGGTTGGTATAAGCAACACCAAAAGAACGCCCTTGCGTAAGGGGCTATTTCCCAAATAGGTGTGTCTTTTTTATGGTTCCGTTTTGGGGTTTTAAGGGAATCCAACACGACACACGAAATCCGTTTTGGGAAGGATGCAAACCCTAAACAAACGACGAGCCACCCAAACACCCCCAACAGTTGCAAAAAATGGGTTGGTTTAGTGCTTGGGTTTCCAATGGTTTCCATTTAACCCACAAGTTCTTCACTTCTAGCCGGGGATCAGAAAACAGGCAGCCCAGCTTCGGTCGCCCTTGAAACCAATCCTAGGTCCCGCAGTAGTGCCCTTTTACCTTTTTTGGGGGGGAGGGCTCCCCTACTAAAATAGACCAGACAAAAAGTTGGTACCCTTATTCCAACCTCTCTACTGGAGGACCTAGAATCCCTTTAGGTAAGGGCGTCGAATCCCAGCAAGACGTGGCTATTTGCCCGGCCAGGGCTGGCAGAGATCTTCGGGGTGCCGCAGCGGTACATCGACAGCATCACCTTCAAGATGCCCCTCCGCATCGGGAAATACAACGACAAGGCGTCCTGCTTTATATTTTTTATTTTTTGGGGGAGGCAGGTAGGGGGGGGGAGGGGTTGTGATGGTCTCTCTTTTCTTTTTTGGGGGGGGGAGAAGGTTGGGTCCAGGGTAGGGGTTTGGTTGCATTTGTCTTTCAACAAAGGTCAGTGCACTTTCTGTTCTGTTGCTGGTGCAATTCAGAGACAGGGCGGGGGAGGTGGACAGCGCCATGTTTTCGACTCCGAGCAGCGGCCAGCGCGGTCTCGTCGTCCGGTCGCTTTCCAAGAGGGAAAATCGGCGTCCGCAAGTCCGGGGCCGGGCAAAACGTCTTTGAGTAATTGGTTTGGGTGCAGACCGAGAGATTCGGAGCATCAGCGCTCTTGCTTGACATGCTGGCGCTTTGGAACCGCGTTTTGGTTCCAGAGAACTGGCTGATGGCCGGCTCCGGCCTCGAATGGATTCCAATTACCTCACGACCCAAACCGCTGAGATGTCCTCGGGGCCTTGCGTTGGCTTCCTGGGTCCGGGAACTCGTAGCGGGAGGTTGAAGTATGGATATCCCGACGGCTGAAAGCTATGCAAGGATAGGCTCTGGGCGTTCCCCTTTCAGAGGTGGGTTTGAGGAGAAACCAATCGGAAACCCGCTGGGGATCCCGTCTATTTTAAGGGACAGCGAGCCCAAAGCCTTTGAAGCCAAAGTGGTCCAGACCTGCGCTGGGCCCTTTTTTCATCGGGGTTTCCGGCAACCTTCAAACCGGAGGGTGAATAATTTGGTGCGAGAGATGGGAATGAGAAATGGCATGACCCCGATCAAAACCATCCAACTGCTGCTCTCCTTTAAGGGAATCCCTGGCTTCATTCCCACATTCCCTACTGAGCACCAGCAAGATAATAAGTGTTGCGCGGTTTTTCGGTATGCATGTGCACGATGGGAGCTGAACCGATTGCGCAAAGCACCAACAAGATCATACGTTGTGTGTGTGTGGGTTTTTTTTTTGGTACGCCGATTACGCAAGGAGCAAGGCAGATGCGGTTAGCACTCCTTGGACAATTAGCTACTTCACGGATCAATCTGAAGTTTTCTGCCTTGACACGTCGGTCGCGGTGAACGACTTGCTCTGATCGCCCTCGCGAAAGCTGGCATGTGAGTGTGGTTCATGTTTGTTTGACTCGCTCGCCTTTTTGGGATTGTGTTGAAGGAAAGGGATCATTTCCGGCTAAACATTCTCACTCCAAAGCCCTTTCCAAAGGATTTCCGTTTACCTGGACCCTTCACATTCCCTGAAACATGTGCTATTACCCCAAAATTTCCGGGGTAGATTCCGTTTGTTTCCTTTTTTCCGGGTAGCTTGAGGTAAATGCTTTCAAAGCTGGCCCTTCCGGGATTCCGACTCGGACATCGGATCGAAGTCGCAACGTCGCAACGTCGCGAGCTTCAGAGAGGTCTCCTGCATCAACACCATGGCCGCGGGCCTGAAGTACGCTGACCGCGCCGGGATCCTGAGGGCTTCAGCACGGCGTCCATGGTTTGAAAAAGTCCCAGGGCAATCCATGTGGCTGTGGTTGTCAAAACCAATGGGATCCCATTTTGGTTGGTAGGTGAATTCACCACCCATCTTAGCCTATTTTAGTGGGGATTGGGATGTTCACCGGGGGTACGGGATTTTGACCCATGGCAATCCATGTGGGCTGTGGTTGTCAAAAAGCAGGGTAACCCCAAAATGGCACAAGCCCTGGTTTTCTGGAGCCAGGAAAAATAACACCTGGCCCATGGTGGTTGAATTTTGACCCATACCCATGTACCAATGGAGGCCCGAACAATGTCAGTTTGGTTGAACATAGATGGGTTCCTTTGCTTGCAGGTGGATTCTATTCATTTACCAGTGCCATCTATTTCCCCACAAGGACACCGGTGGTACTATATACCAGCATGTCGCCCATTTGGAGGTTCGCGGGGGATTCGAGAGAGCGATCTTGTGGGATTTATGAGTCCCATTGACATGTCAACTTTAAGGGATAGCAACACATGATCGATGCGCACTTGCCCAGCCCGCAAAAAGGGGGTCGCCACATGGAAGTATTCTTTCAGGTGGGCGGAGTAGACTACGTACTTGTTGTTGGTTTGTGTCTTGCACCATGCGAGCCGGGGTCGAGTCTGGCCGCACCGATCTACCCGGAAGTGGATAAGTTATCCAGCAAAACGGGAGCCACCCCAACGTAATCATTGAAGCGGTGAGCACAAATCCAAGCATGCAAGGTTTCGTCCATTTCCTTTGTTTGGCCTGTTTTGGAAGCATCCAGTGACCCCGCTGTCTTCGACCTGCGGCCCTTTAAGTTCAGGCAAGCTCTTGCGTGCGCCAACCCAAATCGAGGCTCTCACCGTGTCGCCGACCTATGCGCGGGAGTGCACTACTGACCCTGAGAAGGGGGTGGAGTTGGAGGCGAGAAGGCGTTCAGTTGGCGGACCCCGCGCCTAGGTGAAACGCAGCCAGCAATCATTTCTTGCAACCCATGGGTCACCCCCATTGGTGCGCTACCCTCCCCCGACCCGGATCAGAAACCCTTTCTGCTTTATTATACAGAAGGGCCCCTCTTGGGGGTGGTTTTTCTTCACACACAAGCATTTTACGGGTTGCAAAAACCCACCCCCCATGAAGGGACGCTCTCTTTTTATAAGTCTTATAAGTCTCTGGTTGCCGTTGTTGCCCTGGAACAAGCTTCTGACACTGGCAAGCCCCTGTCTAAGAAGAAAATATGGGCCTCTCTCTGGCCGCTTTCCTTGCGGATGTCTCATTTGCCCAAGCAAATGTTCCAAAGAAAATGCCGGGCGTCGGGCCTCTGGAATTCCCATGCCATTTTTCCCCTTAGAAACTAGATCGATGGAACTTAACACACATCCCGCCCCGCAGGCATGAGTTGCAAACACAATGAGTTCCCGTGAGCCAAGATGGGGACTCTAGGCAACGTTTGGTTTGCTTCCGTTTCCCTTGCAACATCCTTGATTTCTGAGGCTGCCCCATTTACGGACACTCAGAGGGTGCCCCATTTTCTGAGGGTGCGCCATATTTAATCTTGATTTTGCCGAGTGTTCCAAAGGCCTTGATTTTGTAAGGCGTGACTCGCCTTGCCAAGCTCGCAGGTGTCAGGTTGGTACTTTTGCTGACTTAGCACCCCCTTCTGGGACCTGGGATCTCTGCCATGATTTTGGTCTTGAAGGTTCATGAGTTCTGACAAGAATAGTACATGTTCGTGTTTGGGGCAAGAGCCGAGGTATTCCGTCGCTTCTTCTTGTCCTTTCTTATCGGTATGTGAGTTGATACTCTAGCTATTATGATGGAACACAGCCTACACATGATGTGCAGGTCAGTACCAACACTGTTTTTCAGCAAACCTGGCAGTGCACAGTCAACCTTTCCAAAAGGAAAGTCGTCTTCCAAAGATGGCCTTGCTATTTTCCTGCCTGGAGGGTAAGAGCCGTTCCGGATCCCTGCCTCCGACTCTCCAGGCGTGTGGAACCTTGGGGATTTCGGGGGCCGCTTTCGGTACTAAGGGCATCCATATTTGAAGGTTGAAGGAGTGGGGATGGGAATCAACCACTTTGGTATGTTTAGGGTGATTCTTCACAATGACTCTTTCTCAGTCTCTCTCTCTCTCACGCAGGATCAAACAAAGACTCCGGATTCGACGGTTCTGGTAGGTTTTCGGTTTGCAGATGACCCCCAGAAAGGTGTTAAAAGGAGAGGACCAGCTCCAAATCGCCCACGAAAACCAGACGACAAGCCCGCAGTGTCCCATCCGTGGCCGGTTGCCAGGCCCTCTTCACCATGGGAAGGTGCACAGGCGGGTGAAGAGAGTTGATCGACGGCCATTTGCTTTGGTGCATTTTGCTTGGATGTTAGGACTTAACTTTTTGCCAACCAGTGGGTTTTCAATTAAACGACTAAAATTCATTTTTTTAGCCGGGGAGCAGAAAGCAACCGAGTTCGGTGGGGCGTTCCCCCCTTCGGATATGTTTGTCTTTTCTCGGGGGCGGGGGGGGGGGGCGGTCGCTTCAAGAAAAAGGTGGAACTACCAAAAATGTAGCATTCTTCGAGAACCCTGCTTGGCAAAGTACTTTGTCCCACCTTTTGCCTCTTCAAGTGTCTTAAGAAAATGCCCCCGAAGGCAGCATTGATCTCACATGTTGCAACTACAGGCCCTTAGACTTAGCAGCATTGTCAAGTGGCCATTTGTCTCGCAACATCGCACGGTCCTTACCCGATTTGCCACGGGTGATCCTTCAACACGAAGCGTTCTGCTGACACTTGCTTGCAAGGTGTGCAACGCGTGCAACGTGTGCAGTGCAAGTAGAATCTGCTTACAAGACTACGGCTTGTTCCGTTTGGCCAAACAAACTGATTTCGCCTTGATTGTTGCAGCCTTCCTCCGCAGAAAGGGGTCTCTTGAAAATGAAGTAAGTGGTTGTTTTTCACATCGTCATTGGGTGTCTGGGTCTTAGCCTCAAGCTTCCGACTGCCCCCTAAATTGCTGGTGTTTTTGGAGCCGGTCGGGACCGGCTCTTCATGAGAGGTTGTGCGGGGGGGGGGGGGGGTGCATAGGAACCGGGCGGATAAAAAAAAAGAGGTTTCCCGTTTTTCGTTCAGTCTTTTTTCTCCCCCCGTTCTTCTAAGAGTGTTCATTTGTTTTTTTTTCGTTCTTCTAAGAGTACCCCTCCACAGGAATCAGCCACTGGGAACCCGAAAGGTTTCAAAATCGAAAGCCCAGCAGGGCATGCGCTGGCCGCGGCGCGTCGTTTCGTTGCGCCTGGCGTGCGTTTTCCGCCGGGGCTCAATCCAGGCACCTCCGGGTAAGGCATCCGGCCGATGGAGCCCCAAGAGCTGCGGCCATAAAACGAAGCGACCGGGGGTGGAAAAAACAAAAAGTTCCTAGGGCCAAAGGCTCAAGCTAATTCACTTTTCGGGAGGACTGAAGTAGAGTAAAGGCAAGCAGACAAGTTGAAGCTGAGCTGTTTTATTTTCCAGTTGCGGCTCAGTCGGCTAGCCGGTCGCTCGGGCAATCGGCCTAGGGAATTTCGTTCAGGCCTAGTTTGAAGGGACACGGCGATGTTTTCAGATTTCCGGCAGCTGGTTTCTTAAATGTGAGGACTATGGTCTACGAATCCAGACTGGGGCAATCCACCAGACCTGTGCGCCATAAGGGGACAGGTCGCGCGCTTCGGAACTTCGGTCGGCCAATCGAAAGAGAGATTGGGGAGGCATCCTCAACGGCGTCAAGGAGGGCGTTTGCCCCGGGGATAAGAACTTTGTCACCAAGACCTTGATGTCTTGCGGTACCTACACCGCCGGGACACCCGGAGATTTCTGCGAATATCATATTCCTCACCCAAATGGCAGCATGTGGGTATGGGTCAAAATTAAACCACCAGGAATTGGACCGCAGGTTTTCCATGTTTCCATTTACCAGGGAAGGCCATTTTGGAGTTACCCTATTTTTGACAACCACAGCCATGTTGTTTTTTTTTTGGCTGAGGGGGAAGCCTTTAGAAAAGAAAAACCTCCAGGTTGGGAGGCTTCCCACCAATTGCACACCCCCCCCCGTTTGTGTTTGTGACCCTCTTTTGGGGCGCTTGGAGCACGAATGTGAACCGAAACCGGACCCAAGTCTTGTTCCTTTGACTCGTTGCCCGCCGGGAACCAGCTGATTGGTCTTGAGTAACATTAAAGCAAAGGTTGGGCCAATGTATATCCACCATTGTTTACCTAAGGATTCCTAAGGATTCTTTGGCGCATTTTGCCAAGGGATGTTAGGACTTTAACTTTTTGCCAACTAAGGGTTTTCCCATGAAGACCACTAAAAGTGAGTCACCTTTAGCAGGGGAGCAGAAAGCCACCGAGGATTGTCATCTAAATGGGGCCAATCTCATTCTTTTATGGGAGCTAGGGTGGTTGGCCAGATGAGTCGCTTGGTCGCGGAGGGCCCTTTGGGCTCCCGGCTGAGCCACATGGAACTCCGGCTCAACATCTGAGTTCAAGATCAAGGAACCAGAACCCGCAAGCTTCCCATGAAAAAGTGAAATCACCTCAGAACTTTGGGGTGTTGAACGGAGTTCTGCGGTCCGTGAACCCTTGTTCCAGAGGGACTCGGCGGTTTTTCCGTTTGTGGTGCACGGAACATCGGAAATTCGGGAGCCCTGGACCCAGAACCCATTTTTGGGGTTCCATTTTCTGGAGGGTTCCAGGGAAGCCACAACGAAAATACACACTTTGGGTTGGGCACCGGAGTATTTTGAGACCCCCAAAAGGCTCGCCTCCATTTCCCTTCAAAGGGAAGCTCCTTTTAGTGGCGCAAGGAAACCAGTAGCCTCTTCAACTTTGTTGGGAAATCCAGCGATCCCTCGTCAGGTCTGTCTTGCTTGAGCTTGCACCCCTCCAAAATCGGGTGGGCTTCCTCGTGGTTTCCCTTTAAACAAATGGAACCCTCCAAGAAGACGCACCCCCCCCCCCCCCACAAATGGATGGTTTTCAAAACGGGGAACACCCTCCAAGAAGACACCACCCGCACGAGCTCTCAGCTCGGGTTCGGACGAACCGGACGAACCGGACGAACCGCTCAGGCTGCCACCTGCGACGCGGCCAAGAGAGAGCTCAAGGCGGGGATCGGCTCTTCACCGTGGCCATGACTTCGGGTTTTTACTCTTTAAAACAAATCAGAACACTTTGTATTTTGTTGTTTTTTGTTAATGGTTTTTTGATTTTGTGTCATTTTTGGCCGGGGGCCTATCACTGGGGTCATTCTTTTGACTAGTTGAGGTTCTCAAAATTCGGGGGGCGATAGGCTGCAAAGCGCCAGGTTTGTGTTGTTCCCGCTATCGCTGGGGCTCGTTCTTTTGACTATTTGAGGCGATCAAAATTCGAAACTGGGGTGGTTTCCCTTTACCATTCGGGGGGTGATAGGGGGTGACTTTGATAGTTCATGTGGCCATTATTTCGAGACACAGCCACACCTTGCGCAAAATTGGTGTGGATTGGGGAGTTGAACTCCAGTACCTTCTGACACATGGGGAAGGAATCCCCTTTTTTACACCCAAACCACCAATCCACCAATGAACAAGGTGACATATGGGTGTGAGTGAAGCCAAGCAAAGGAACCCCGGAGGAAGGTGTTTCCTTTTAGTTCCCGTTTAAACCCATCCAACAAGTTGAGGCACCCCCATTTCAGTTTAGAGTGAGTCCTGCGACCATTTTTTGTTGGGTTTGTCACAATCAACCGCCAGAACTATGTCAATTGCTTTTCCCAATCCTGGCCGCCAATTGCAGCAGAGTCCACCTCTTCATTGGGTTTGGTGTGCATCTTTGTGCTCAGTTTCGTCCCGAGCTCCCATGTGATAAAGGTGCCTTACTGGGGGATTTCCGATGTGTGGTTTGGGATTTGTGGAGGTTTGAGGTCGATGATTTAATTTGTGTTTGGTGTTGCATCCCTGACTCGCTTGATTAATCTCGTAGTAGAACACATCGGTGATTGATCCCATGTCTCGGACGAGGGGATGCCCATGAATGCCCTGACAATCCCGATATGGAGAGTTGCTGCGTTACATGCAAAGGTCTACATGAACTTACGCACAACAATGGGATATTGCGCTGTGTTGTCTTGATTTTACTCATATCTTTCTCGGGATTAACCTTTAGTTTAGAAATTGATCATGACTCGTCAGCTGTTCTGTTCTGTTTTCGTGGCTCCTTAAGCAAATGGAAGCCTATCAAGCTGGCTTCCACTTCGCTTTTGGTCAGCGCTTTTAGCTTTCGGTGCTCATCCCTTGGCACGGAGGAGGTTGCAACCTCTGAAATTCCATGGTGCCATGCTCCCTATGGAAGTCTGGACATACTGTGGGTGGATGAATTCCATTTCGCACCACTTTGAAACCATGGTTGAAACCATTGGTTTTGTTGGTATTTTTCAGTGGAATCAAAAAACCCTCATTTTCCAGGTTTCCGTAGGTGCGAAATGGAATTCGCCACCATCCACATGGAGCTCGCCTGGCGAATTCGCTCAGATGGCCTACAGAAGCCAGAATAACCTGCCAGCGTCCAGCGGCCCGCTGATGTGCTTCATCGGCAGGCCGGAATTCGCACGTGCGCCGGGGCGAGCTTTTCCTCGGGCTTTTTATGGGTCGGTGAAACAAGCCAGGTTTTGCTGGCAAGAGTGGATCCCTTCAAGAAAAGCTGCCTAATGGGATGTTGCAACTGGAAAGGATAATGTTGGTTTGGCCTCACGTGATTTGAGACTGTCAATACTAGCACTGTTGCAGCACCTTGAGACACGAACGGGGGGCCGCGTTCGAAGAAGTCGTTTGTTGGAAGGGTCGGGATTGACTGCTTCCCTTTTGCGCAACCTGCCAAGTGTTATGTTGGCAAGGATGGGATGAACCGGTTTCCTAGTCTACGTCCCCCAGCATACTGCCCTTTCACCTTTTTGGGGGGGAGGGTTCCCCTATTAAAATAGACTACAGAAAAAGAATTGGTGCCAACTTATTCCAACCTCTCCACTGGTTTGGACCTAGTACCACCAGAAGCGGTTGCCACCGGTTCCCCGGTTCAGCGCTCACAGGCTGGACGCCCAGAAGGGCTATGACATTCTGCTCGAGGCGATGATGGAGATCATGGAGGACGCCGGACACTTCCCCCCTCCCCCCCCCCGATTTTGTAGATTAATGGGGTGTGACTTGAGGGCTACTTGGGGTGACTTTGGGTGTGTGTGTGTGTGTGTTTTTGTTCCCCCGAGATGCTGGTTCCAGTCAGGTTCCCGCATTTCTTGCTGTGGGTTTGTATGTCCCTGTGTGTCGTTCTGTAGCCTCGGACGCACCAAAGTTGGATCCGGTCGATCCGGTGGAAGCGTCGGAGCGTCGGAGCCCAGGACGTGGAGATGCAGATGATCGTGGTGGGCGCCGGGCGTGCGGACTTGGTGGCACAGCCGCTGAGCCAAACACCCGCGCGGTGACCGCTGGACGGGACGCCGTCCATTTCACCAGGAAAACGCAAACAGGGGTGTCTTAGATCCGCCCCTTTTGGGTTTCAAGCTTGAAGCATCACCTCTTGGGGCAACGTGAGTTTCCTTTGTTCGGAGCGGGAGGTGTGGGGAGGTTAGGAGGATGCTTCTTTTCCTGGCTTTTCCAGCCTGTAGCCATGTGCAAAAAAGTAGGTATTTCAAGGTGTCGACGTAGCCTTCGGGATGGGGTTGGTGCAGAGGCACGCATGGGGGTCCCGCAAAGTAGGAAGAACTAAAAGGAGCCCACCTACCTTGGAGGGGCCCCCTGATTTTGAGAAGCTCCCATATGTACGGGCCAGAAGGAAACCTCTCATTTTGACTGGCTTGAAACTAGCCTTAGCGAGCCTGGGTCCAAAGTTGATCTGGTTTCCAAATGGCTGGTCAAAAAAAAAGAGTACCCAAAATGGGACCCTGGTAAATGGAGCCAAGGCCTAAAACCCGTGGTCTGGTGGTCACCAATTTTCACCCACACCCAAATGGCGTCAGTAAAAACATTTTTCGCCAAAGGGACACACCCGCCAATTCGTTTGACCGAAGGTTTTCCCTCGAGCCCGAAAAGAAAAAAAGACTTCAGCTGAGGACCAAGGCATTGGAGAAGAAGTTCCCCAACAAGCTCTTCTACGCAGGCCGTTTGTGGAAACAAGCTCTACCCCTTTTGAGAACTCGATGGTTGCTGCTGGTTTGGTTGCTTTGATTTCTTGATTGTTTTCTTGGTCGCTTGCTGGCTTGCTGGCTTGCTGGCTTGCCTGCTTGCTTGCGTGCTTGCTTGTTTTTGTTTTGTTTTTTTCCTATCTTTTGTTGTGTGCCTGATTTGTTGGCTTGCTTGGTTGGTTGCTTGATATGTCTTGATTTGAATGCTTGGTCGGTTGTTGGTTACAGCCCCTCACCCTTTTGCGCCCATGGAACAGGCTTTTCCCATACCGCGCGCTTGGTTTTTTCCCACCAGGCTGGGCTTGCATGGGCAACTTTGCATGGGAATGGTGCTGCTTCCCGGCCTTTTCGAAAAACCTTGGGCTTTGGGCAGACGGCAGACGGCAGGGCTTTCTTCCATTTGCAAAAGAATGTGTTTTTCTTTTCTGTCGGTTTTAAAGAGACTCTAGCACTTCTGTTTCTATTCTTAATGCCAGGGGACATATATCCACCAATGACAATCACTTCCGGATGTTTTCATTTTTGCCAGGGGGCGTATCCACAAATGGAGGTGTTCGAAAATGGGCCCCAAGCCAACAGCACAGCTCCACTTTGGGAACCAAAGAGCTCGGTCACTTGAGCCACGGCCCATGGGGAGGGGTGCCTTGGTTCGAGAGGAGGCCAAGCCAGTGGTTTTTTGGGAGGTTGTTTTACGGACCTCCGAAAAAAGAAGAATAAAAAACGCCAGTTGGGAGGTTTTTTGGGGCCAAGCCGAAAAAAAGAAGAATCAAGAAGCTGCCTCAAGGGTTGCAAGCCAGCTGCGGACCATTGCCCGCTTTGTTTTTTTCCAGCAAGTTGAGGGGACACGCCCGGCCCTGGTTACTCTCAGAACCTGAACCCCCTCCCCGCTGCCTTACTTCGGGAAAGCAAGACTAAACGAGATGAAAAGGTTGGATCCTAACACGTCTTTTCAGTTGTAAAGTGGACACACAGACACACGCCTGGTAGCTCCTGGTCAATACTTGTATCATTCACTTTCACCCCGGAAGAGAGGTTTACTCTGAAACCGGTTCCATCAAAAACAAACACACCCACCCACGCACCCAACCCAACCCCAACCCACCCACACCCACACCCACACCCAACCCAACCCACACCCACACCCAACCCAACCCACACCCACACCCACACCCACACCCAACCCACACCCACACCCACACCCAACCCAACCCGCACCCACACCCACACCCACACCCACACCCAACCCACACCCACACCCACACCCACCCCACACCCACCCCACCCCACCCCACCCCACCCCACCCCACCCCACCCCACCCCACCCACCCACCCACCCACCCACCCACCCACCCACCCACCCACCCACCCACCCACCCACCCACCCACCCACACCCACATTCCCGCACCCCAGCTGCGCCTTCGCCCCAAATCACCCCGCCAGGCTGGATGGGTGCGGAGCGTTATGCCCTGCTCGCGGGCTGCGACTTCACGCTGCTTCCTTCCAGGCGCCCTCTCTCGCGTGCGCGAATGCGAAGGGTTTTTCGTGGGTGGCTCGGAATCGTTTTTTGGGGGGAGCCCCCTTTTGGTTGGGTTCTTTAAAGGGTAGACCACCAGGAAAACCGCCTTTTTTGGGGCGGGGGCCCTCAAAGAAAAGCAAGAGAGACAGGTGTGACGTCTTTAATCCAATGCTACTCGCACTTCGCGGGCAGTCAGCCGCCTGACAGCCTCGAGGCGTGTCCGCCCGGAAACACCCAGTGGCGATCAATAGAACTCCCACTTCAAATCCAAGGGTTGGCTTTTAACATCACCTCCGGTGAAAAGGGGTATCTCAAGAAAAGTTGGCCACATTTAGTTGTGTAAATACTCCAGTCATTTCAAAACAACAGGGATCCACTCTAGAATCAACCACCAAGAGAAAGGATTGTTGCTGTAGAAATAGGGATTCCCTTCAAGTCAAGATCAACCCAGAAGACTGAGTGTCCTAAAAGAAGCTGGCCACTTTTAGTATGTTTAATTCAAGGGGAAATAAGACGTTCCATGTATTTACAATCAACCACAAACAAGGTTTTGATGGGCAAATAGGGGCTTCCTTTGATTCTGGATCATCCCACAAGCCAGAATGGTGATCCACAAACAAATGTCCTAAAACACGGGGGCGTCCCTTCAAACCAAAAAACATGTTGTCCTAGGTTCCCTTCAAGCTAGCAAACAGGGAATGTCCTAAATATTTGTATCTGCATACATATCTTGTATCCCTTGATTTTTTTAGTGACTCAGTGGAGGCCCAACCAAAAACCAAGAACCAGGGCCTTCCTTCAAAATCGACCGCGTGGGCGGCTTCGAGGTGGGAGCCCTGCGGCCTGGTGCAAATGGAGGCCATGCGGCTGGGCACTTGCCCCATCGTGGCGCCCACCGGAGGTCTCAAAGATACCGTGGAGGCCGGGGCCGGCGCCACGCGGAGAGAGCCAGGGGGGCGGGGGGTTCCTGGGGTAGGTCGCTTAGGTTGGTGTCTTTGATATTTGTTTGAGGGTTTGTGTGTTCAACAGTTGATTTAGGGAGTGATTGTTTTTTTTTTTCTTCTCTTGTGCGGGGTTGGCAACTTGTTAAGTATTCAGGTGTTGGGACGGCGCTTTGACTTGGATTTTATGCAAGAGTGCATGGGGCTGCATGAAGCCAAAACGTGAGACAGCTTCGTTCAATAACCGCACGCATCCCTCGAACGTTAAAAAAAAGCTTTTGTGGCGAGATCCCGAGAAAGTGTAACGAACAGTTTTTCAGAAAGGTAGCGGGTTGCGCAGGAATCTGGGTGTGTGCCGAGATTGCTGATCTTTCGGAGCATGCATCATCTTCACCAAACCGCTCCTCTCCTGCGAACTGCTTTTGACCCTATTTCTCACATGGCCTCTGATTTTCAAGAGACAACCACTTCAGAAGTGGTTGGTGGACATCAATCCCCACCACCAAAAAGTCCCCAAATAAATGCACAGGAACAGTAGCTGACACATTTCAAGCCAAAGATCTATCCTAGTGATGTCTCTACTTCGGAGCCCTCAACGCCCCGAAGCCCTGCACCAGTTGAGCGCCATTTGCTAATCAGCAGAAGCAACAATCAGATGGGCAATGATAGCGGTCAACGATCAAAGGCCGCTGGCGATGGAGTGTCACTTATCAACAAGCTCCATTGAGTAGACCTGAAAATCGGGCACTTGTCGTTGATCTTGCTGAGAAGCTGATGCTGAGTGCGCTGTTTGGTGTGTGACGGTCCTCGGTGCATGTGAACTTGAGCCATTTGTTCCCCTTCCATACGTGAAAGGTCTCTTGAAGAATGACATGGATGTTCTCCTTGCTGGTGCTCGGGTTCCAATTTGGTACCGGTTTTTCGAGCCACAGCCATGTGATGATGCAACAGCCTTTCTGGCCGTTTGGTAGGGATCTTTGAACACAAGCACTTTTTGGATGAAACTTTGTGGATTTTGTCCATTGGACCCACTAAGCGTTTTAAACAAATGCAGAGGGGTCAACAGCCACCAAGTAGGGCTTTGGGAGGAGAACCATGTTTTAACCCGCAGCCACTTTTTCTGAATAGGGCTCCTATCGCAAGCGTGGTGTACGCTTGCACCAGACTTGCGCTCCAATTGATGCTCGCAAAGCGGTTTTAACTTCCATTCATTCCAACTCCAAGCTGTTTGGACATCACCTGGGCGAACCTTAGGTTGCCTTCAAGCAGTTGGTTCCCAGCCATCCGGTTCCTTCGCTTCGCCCATTTACACCACGAAAGGTTTCCGACTTTCAGCGGATCACAAAAAAACGGCCCCTTTTGCAGGGGATCCGAAAACGGGCCGCGCAGTTCAAGCAGCTGCTTATTTTGGCAGGAGGAAACCGTGGTAGTGCACTTTTTGTTGCTGCTTTTTTGGTGGAGAATACCGTGTCCTGCCCTCCTTCTTTTGGGTGCGGCGTGCCATGCGACAGGATGGCTTGAACGGCATTTGGACTGACTCGGAGATGACCGTTGAGGCCATCGTGGACGAGGAGTGCCGGCAGAGCTGCTAGGGATGCGCTCCCTCCCCCCCCCAAAAAAAAGCAAGCAAGCAAATACTAGGTCTCCCAGCTAGGTGCCAACTTTTACCGTTTCTTTTTTGGTTGGCAGGGTTCCAATTTACTAAAATAGACCACAGCAAAAAAGGGTACCTTATTCTAACCTCTCTACTGGAGGACCTAGAATAAATCAATCAATACACACATAAGCATCAAAACAAGAACAATGTTAGTGGCTCCCAGCCATCTTTTTAGCTGTGTTTAGTTGGTTCGGTGGTTGGATTTCCATTCAAACCACTCGAAGTTAAACTTTTTGCAGGGGATCCGAGGGCAGCCCAGCACAATGATTAGAGCCTTTCGCTTCCACTTCAAAGCCACAACAGCACGACACTCCCACGTGCAATGTTGTTCCTTGGGGGAAACATGTCGGCGCTTGTGTGGACCATGTGTAATTATATTAGTTCCCTTGTGAACCGTGTGTTGATCATTATGTTTTTTTTCCGCGTTTTTTCAGGGAGCCACAAGAGCGCAGGGTGGTCTCTGTTGGACCTCATCGGAGCATGCAACGTTTTCCTCATAAAAGTGTAGCTTATCTCTTGGTACTCCTGTCAGAGCCAAGGGGCAAGAACACCTCCGGCTGATGAGGATGCCCTTGCGAGGCTCAAAAATGCCTAAGTTGGGCGGTCAACAGGACAGGTGCCCCTATTGAGTCCTATCATGTGGGACCGCCGTGTGAAACAAGGTGGTCATATGTTAGACATAGTCCATGATGTGCTTTGTGGTTATTTCCGCGTTGAAAAGCCAAGATCAGGTATCCACCAATTGGCGGTTTGCATTGGTTGGTTTGCCCTTTGAAAGAAGCCCCGGCAAATGGGAAGGCCTCAGGGACCCCGGTGCAAAAGAAAATCATCGGGCGAGTGAAGGTGAAAACTCCAACTCGCCACGAAAAAAGGCTCGAGCCAAGGGGTTTGGGAAGGTCAACTGGCCATTTGTGCGCCTGGGACATGCAGATGTGAAAGTACAGATGGCCTAGCGGTTTTCACGGGTGCTAGCACCCCCTGTTGCCCACCCGAGAGCATCATGGAAAAGCGCGGCATGAACTTGCGCTAAACCATGTTCGAGGGTATTGCAATTTAGCTCCCCACAGAAAAGAACATAGTCAGGTGAAGCTGGCCATGTCTGTTTGAGTGGTAAATGTTAGTTGCCACAAGCAGATACGCGATGGGTATAAACATAATTAATGAAACAAACCGTGACCCCGCCCTTTGCAACGGGCGGTCGTTTTCTTTTCACATGGTTTCACGGTTTACCCTATAGAGGGCAAAGCAAGGGGGGGAAGGCACCATAACGTCCAAGTCACCAAAGCAGAGGGGGGGGGGGCAATAGCCAACGGTCAGGATTGGTACCCCCTAACGTCCAAACCACCAAACCAGATGGGGGGGCGAATTTGCACATGACCAAACTTTCAGCTCAGGGAATGTGGGAATGAGCCCAAAAAAATCCCTTGAAGGAAACCACCAAGTCATCTGGGGCGGAGGGAGGGGGGAGGGAGCCCAAATAAGCCCATTAAGGGCGTAAAAATAAGGGGCTTCTTTAGGCTCCCTCCCTCCCTCCGCAGCCCCGATCGAGCAAAGCTCTGGTCCCGGTTAGGAGTCGGTGGCTTCCTTGGCTCGCGCCCTAAAGCGGGCCGTGAAGCTCTTCAAGGACAGCCCGCAAAAGGCGGGGGATGCGACGCACTCCGTGATGCGAGCAAAGAAGCAGGCAGAACAAAGCCATCATCTCACTGAGTGGCCAAGTGACCCAAGGAACCAAGGGGCCAAGGAACTAAGGAACCCGAGCAACCCGAGCAACCCGAGCAACCCGAGCAACCCGAGCAACAAGAGCAACCCGAGTAACAGAGCAACCCAAGCAGCCAAGCAACCAAGAAACCAAGCAAGCACGCAACCAAGCAACCCAAGCAACCCAAGCAACCAAGGAACCAAGGAACCAAGCAAGCACGCAACCAAGCAACCAAGCAGCCCAAGCAACCAAGCAAGCACGCAACCAAGCAGCCCAAGCAACCCAAGAAACCAAGCAAGCGCGCAACCAAGCAACCCAAGCAACCAAGCAAGCACGCAACCACGCAAGCAAGCAAGCAAGCAACCAAGCAACCAAGCAACCAAGAAACCAAGCAACCAAGCAACCGAGCAACCAAGCAACCAAGCAACAAGCAACCAAGCAACCAAGCGACCGAGCAAGCACGCAACCAAGCAAGCAAGCAAGCAACCAAGCAACCAAGCAACCAAGGAACCGAGCAACCAAGCAACCAAGAAACCAAGCAACCAAGCAACCGAGCAACCAAGCAACCAAGCAACAAGCAACCAAGCCACCAAGCGACCGAGCAAGCACGCAACCAAGCAAGCAAGCAACCAAGAAACCAAGGAACCAAGCAAGCAAGCAAGCAACCAAGCAACCAAGAAACCAAGGAACCGAGCAACCAACCAACCAAGAAACCAAGCAACCAAGCAACCCAAGCAACCCAAGCAACCAAGAAACCAAGGAACCGAGCAACCAAGCAAGCAAGCAACCAAGCAACCAAGAAACAAGCAACCAAGCAACCAAGCGACCGAGCGACCGAGCGACCGATTGCAGGTGGTGGAGATGAAGAAGGCTGCCATGGCCGCGGCCGCTGAGTTCACTTGGACCAACGCAGCGCTGCAGTACGAGGATCGACCGCCTCGGGATCCGTCCGGCCGTCAAAATCTTGGGCCATTTTTGGTATCCCCTTCACCCTTTAAAGGCAGCACCCACCGGCGGCACCAAGGCCCAAAATGCAAAAAGCACATATTTTTGCCAACCCCACAGGTGCCAACTCGTCTAAGAGTCTAGGCACACCAACAGCGGCCTTGCAAAGAATTTATATGCAACCGCACGAGGTGATCAAAAGACAAATCCAGCAGAACCTGCCACATGCGGAAGTCGCGAGTGGTTTTGAATTGGTTTGGGGAATTGATCCTCTCATTTTTGTGGAGGGTAAATGGATAAACCGGAAAAACCATCCAACTGCCAAACCAAACCCCTCCAATTCGAAGGTAAGAAAGGGGGTTCCCAAAATCTGGAAGCTATCGGCAGATTTGAATGACGTACATGGCCCGGATGTGGGTTCCTTTCTGGACGAAACTTCAGCCCACCGAGACTCATCTTCGGTTGTTTTTTTCGGTGCGCTGACCCAACATCACGCGAGTTTGTGCGTTGTTGGAGTCCTTCGTTTAGCCGAGAGAAACAGACAGAGATGTCTGGGCGCAGATTTATTTCTACTGTTCTGCTCTGCCCAAACCAGCCCTGTGACATATTGGCATAATATATATATATATAGTTATATGGGTTTGTTGTTGTTTGGTCTGGGATAATCCGCAGCCCTCTTACAGGGTGTGAAGACACACTGTGTACCCTATGCACCGGAGGCTCCAAGTCATAGAGGGCTCCAGTATCAAACAGAGCTGCTCCAAGCTACAGCCAAAGCCTGAAAGTATGAAACTCTGTCCGCTTGAGGTGCTTGCGGGATTTGGGACATGGGAGAAAGACGAAGAATGGGGCGGGGGTGCTGCTTGGTGTCCTTTTGGCTCTCTATACCAGATTCTAATTTCGTACCCCAAGGCCCGATCGTGTGCAAAGTCTCTGCCCGGTTTTTCGCGCTAGACATGGAGGTGTCTTGGGGATCTCTATGGATCCCTCAAGTCTTTATTGGCGAGTTCCTCCAACCAAGGGGGTTGCCGAGCACAGCTGCACACCGGGCTTTCCAAGCCCGACGAAGGGCAGCTTTCCGTTGAGCCCTTGCGGCTTTACCGCGCGAGTCGAGTCAAGTCGGGAAACAGGGCGATGCAGCCAAGGCTTCGCCAACTCCACGAAGGTGTGAAGCCTGAGTCTTTTCATAGGTTTCAGAGTGAATATAGTTTGGTACTTGTTTGTTTGTCGCACATGGAAGCTTGGGAAGCTTACGGTCCGCCATCGCATACGACAACATCCGTTTTCGTGGGTTGAGGTACACCGCATGCGAAACCACAGGGAGTCATATTTGTGGCGAGCCATACAACGTATGTGCCATAGGCGGTCTTCCGAACCCCTACTTGTAGAAACTAAACGGAAAAGGATCCCTCGAAACACCTCCGCACCGGTGGCCTGTCTTCTTTTTCCCGAAAGCATCGCGAAGGGTTCTTCCGTGCGGAGCCCTTGGACAAGTTACATAGAGCCAAGTTACATAGAGCCAAGTTACATAGAGCCAAGTTACATAGAGCCAAGTTACATAGAGCCAAGTTACATAGAGCCAAGTTACATAGAGCCAAGTTACATAGAGCCAAGTTACATAGAGCCAAGTTACATAGAGCCAAGTTACATAGAGCCAAGTTACATAGAGCCAAGTTAGAGCCAAGGAGCTTAGGTAGAGCTTAGAGCTTCGGCGTTAGCAGCTATGTAAGTTAGTTTAGGTTTCTAAGGCGCCGGGGCGGGAGTTTGATCGTCGCTCGGGATTGCGACCCTCTGCGGAGATTCGCGTGGTCGAGGTTCAAAAACTGAGGACTTTTTACAATTTCTAGCATGCCCGCGCGACCCTCTGCGGAGATTCGCGTGGTCGAGGTTCAAAAACTGATTTTAAACCAGAAGAAGTGGAACTAAGATACAGGCACCAACATTCTAAGATACCAAGATTTAGTTTTGTTTGCCAGGCCCACATCCCAACCCTTCCCTGTGCCCACATCCCAACCCTTCCCTGTGCCCACCCCCTGCACTGTGGCTCGGACTACTTCATGGAATACTTGGAGCAGCAGTTCACAGGGAGGGAGGGTGGGTAAAAACATAGGCACCGCTGAAAAGCGGGTAGCGCTGAAAAGCGCACCATTTTTTTGGGCACATGGTAAAGATGACCAAGCAGGCCTGGCCAGAGAGGGAGGATGGTCATGGGGCACTTTAGCCTGCACCAAGACTGCAATATTCAATGGCCTAGTGGTCAATATATATCCCTGCTTTGCTTCAGAACTGTAACAACTGCAAAGCACTATGCATAGAGGGCACAGCCATTGAGAAAATGCATGTGGGGCTACGTGTGCTGACCATGACCCTAAGTTTCATGCCCTGTTGCACACCCGTGCACCAAACCACACTGCAGCCACAATGTGTTTGCACACAGACGCTTGCAGCCAAAGAAGTTGCCATTTGACTGTTTGGGGCAGCTGGGCACTAAGGCTCAAGCCCTGCACTGAGGTTCACTAAGGCCCCAGCAGAGCGGAGCCTGCTGCAAGCTAAGGTGCAGACACTAAGGCCCAGGCATCTAAGGCCCTCACTTCAGGGTGACACAGGCCTGGCAGGCAAAGAGGCAATGTTGCCACTCACTAGGGCGCAGTCACATTGTGGGGTTGTAAGCCTGCCAAGGCATGGACTCCATGCCTTGGATTTTCCTATCACTGTAGGGGTTGGGAACAAGTAAGACAAAGGCCAGAGGCTTAAAGGATGTTCAAGGCAAGTTTTCGCAGTTCACCCCAGCCCTTGTCAGACACTAGGGAGGGCCCCACTGACTTTTGAAGGTGTTGACCGATTGGAGGCTGGGGTTCTGCCAGCCAATGTTGCACTTTCGCCAGGACAACTGTTCAGCTTTGATGCTCCTTGATGGGATTGTCAAATTTGAACACCAATTACACACTAAACATTAATGCCAGAAACCTTGAAGACATCATGCAAGGGGGAGGGCAAACCTTCAATCAACCAAGTGGCGCAAAACATCTAATTTCCAAACAGCTCCATTGGGCAGGAAATTCGTTCAGCACCAGACCAATAAATGCTCCAGTCCCCCTCCCTGCCCCCCAGCTGCAAGCCATGCGCGTCAGCCCCAAAGCCCCAAGTGCATGTGCTGCATCGGTTGACCCTGATGAGTGCTGCCCGCAGGTGGGCTCTTCAATTGCAACGCAAGAAGACATGTACACAGTGACCTAAACAGGCGCAACTGAGCTGCTCAGCAAAGGCCACGCACGGCACATGCAACCACACATGGGTAACACACACACACACAAACACCCACCGCTTCACAAGCTTTTTTCCAGAACGGCGCCAGGTAGCCAAGTTCAAGCTAGCCTGCAGGCCTGTAGGCCTGCAATGCTGGCTTCACTTCTTAGACATCTCAGGCTTCTTGGCATTTGATGGCTGGCTCTTGGAAGAAGAGCTCTGCTCCTGCTTCTCCTGCAAGTCCATGATCTGAAAGTGCAAGTCTGCATTCTCAATGCAGAGGGCGTCCTTTTCCTGCGGTCAAGTCAGGGGTAGCAACTGCCAGGCCCATGGTCATGCTTGGTCAACCCTGCCTGGTTGCACTTGTCATAGACCCGCTTCCACATCCCCTGGTGCTTCTCCAGAACAACGTCCCTGCCCTTCTTGATCTTCTCAGTCTCTTGCTCAGCCTTGGCACGGAGGCACGTTTCCTCCATCAGATCATTCGCAACGTGCTTGAGTGCAGAGTTCAGCTCCTTCACATCATTCTTCAAGATGCAAATTTTCTTGTTGGAGGTTGCAGCCTCCTCTGTGGCCACCTTGACAGCCTTCTTGAGTGTTCTGACACCTTGCCGCTTCTCATACGAAAGCCCTCTCTGTTGGGGCATTGCCTGCAAGCTGTCTGGACTGCAAGCCTGCTGGCCTGCATCTGTGCTGTGCTGTGAGCCAAAAACTCATGGCAGTTCACATTGGGCATGCAAAGGTGCCCACCCACGGCAGGCACATCATTCCACTGGCTGGCCATTCGTTCAACATTATCATTTCGGTGTGCGCACACAATTACCCAGTACAGTAGCAGGCTCAACAAGACAACAATTTGTTTTCCTCTCAAACTGACATCCTCACAGCCGACCAGCAGATTGGCTTCCCCAAAGCACCTGGGCATGGCTGAGCGCAGAAGACACAACTTTTCAAGGATACCCAAAGGCTAGACACAACTGGCAGACAGCCCACAGACACCACAGCTTCAAGAATCCAGGGGTTGTCTCTTTGTGGCAAAAATATAATGAATCGAGCTTCACAATGTTAAACAGTCACCCCCTCAAAATAGCAGTGTGTCACACATTACAGTGGCACGCAAGTCCGGCCCCTCACCTGGTGCGCCCATGGTGGGTGTCTACTTCAAAGCATGGCAGCTGTCATTAAAGGCATCCTGGAACTGCTTTTTGGGTTGTTACTCTCTTTGGTTTTGCCTGACCAGCATCATTGCATTCACAATTTTGGATGGGCCATTTCTCCAAGTGCAGGCAGTGCTGAGCCACTCCAAGGCCAACACACATGCCTTCACTTTGGGGAAAGAACTTCAAAAGAACGAGTGCGGGCATTTTCCCCTGGCAAGCCTTGGATTTTGGGTGGACCATGCCATGGATGCCCCATGCCATGGATGCCATGGCATGGACAGGGCTGTTGGGATTTTGGGCACCTTCCAAACCCTGAAAAATTGGCGCACACACACACAAAGCCCAGGGTTATGGACATGAAAGCAGCCACTGAGGCCATGGCAATCTGGAGACATCACCTGGCAGACATGGGATGGCAAGACCCGAAAGGAGAAGTGCCTTTTCAATATGAAAAGAATCTCGTCTCTCTTTTTCTGGCATGCTCAGCAAAAATATCGCATGGCTATCAAAAGAAGTAGGCAGCAAACTGCGACGCAGTAGTGGAGACATGCGATGTCCCAGGACAAGTTCCTCACC